CTTTCTTATCTCTCCTGGCTATTCTTTGGAACTCTGCATTCAAATGGGAATATCTTTCCTTTTCTCCTTTGCTTTTCACTTCTCTTCTTTTCACAGCTATTTGTAAGGCCTCCTCAGACAGCCATTTTGCTTTTTTGCAGTTCTTTTCCATGGGGATGGTCTTGATCCCTGTCTCCTGTACAACGTCACGAACCTCCATCCATAGTTCATCAGGCATTCTGTCTATCAGATCTAGTCCCTTAAATCTATTTCTCACTTCCACTGTATAATCATAAGGGATTTGATTTAGGTTGTTCCTGAATGGTCTAGTGGTTTTCCCTACTTTCTTCAATTTAAGTCTGAATTTGGCAATAAGGAGTTCATGATTTAAGCCACAGTCAGCTCCTGGTCTTGTTTTTGCTGACTGTGTAGAGCTTCTCCATCTTTGGCTGCAAAGAATATATATAATCAATCTGATTTTGGTGTTGACCATCTGGTGATGTCCATGTGTAGAGTCTTCTGTTGTGTTGTTGGAAGAGGGTGTTTGCTATGACCAGTGCATTCTCTTGGCAAAACTCTATTAGCCTTTGCCCTGCTTCATTCCGTACTCCAAGGCCAAATTTGCCTGTTACTCCAGGTGTTTCTTGACTTCCTGCTTTTGCTTCCTATAATGAAAAGGACATCTTTTTCGGGTTTTAGTTCTAAAAGGTCTTGTAGGTCTTCATAAAACCATTCAACTTCAGCTTCTTCAGTGTTACTGGTTGGGGCATAGGCTTGGACTACCGTGATATTGAATGGTTTGTCTTGGAAACAAACAGAGATCATTCTGTCGTTTTTGAGATTGCATCCAAGTACTGCATTTTGAACTCTTTTGTTGACCATGATGGCTACTCCATTTCTTCTAAGGGACTCCTCACCACAGTAGTAGATATAATGGTCATCTGAGTTAAATTCACCCATTCCAGCCCATTTTAGTTCACTGGTGGCTTCCCTGGTGGCTCAGTGAAGCGTCTGCCTACAATGCGGGAGACCCGGGTTTGATCCCTGGGTTGGGAAGATCTCTGGAGAAGGAAATGGAAACCCACTCCGGTATTCTTGCCTGGAAAATCCCAAGGAAGGAGGAGCCTGGTAGGCTACAGTCCATGGGGTTGCAAAGAGTCGGACAGGACTGAGCGACTTCACTTTCACTTTGCTGATTCCTAGAATGTCAGCGTTCACTCTTGCCAACTTCTGTTTGACCACTTCCAATTTGCCTTGATTCATGCACCTAACATTCCAGGTTCCTATGCAATACTGCTGTTTACAATATCAGACCTTGCTTCCATCACCAGTCACATACACAACTGGGTATTGTCTTTGCTTTGGCTCCATCCCTTCATTCTTCCTGGAGTTATTTCTCCACTGATCTCCAGTAGCATATTGGCCACTACTGTCCTGGGGAGTTTCTCTTTTAGTATCCTATCATTTCGCCTTTTCATACTGTTCACGGGGTTCTCAAGTCAAGGATAGTGAAGTGGTTTGCCATCCAGTGGACCACATTCTGTCAGACATCTCCACCATGACCTGTGCGTCCTGGGTGGCCCCACACGGCATGGCTTAGTTTCATTAAGTTAGACAAGGCTGTGGTCCGTGTTATCAGATGGGCTAGTTTTCTGTGATTATGGTTTTAGTGTGTCTGCCCTCTCATGCCCTCTTGCAACACCTACTGTCTTACTTGGGTTTCTCTTACCTTGGACGTGGGGTATCTCTTCACGGCTGCTCCAGCAAAGCGCAGCTGCTGCTCCATACCTTGCACGAGGGGTATCTCCTCACGGCCCCCACTCCTGACCTTGAACGTGGAGTAGCTCTTCTCGGCCCTCCTGCGCCCGCAGAATTAATTTCCTTCTAATTACCCCTTAAATTCCTGGACTTAAATGTATCTCTGGCCCTTTAAATGGGGGCGTGGCGCAGCGGGGCGGACCGCCCAGGAGAGACCCGGGAGAGAAGAGGAAAGCGGAAGCGTGGCCAACGGGTATATACTGCGCGTGCGTGAGGCTAGAGCAGGGGGCGGGGTCACGTGGTCCGTCGTGGGGGTCCTAGGCTGGCGCGGCTGAGAGTTCAGGTAAGGAATCTTCCGAGAGCGGCCCAGCAGGGTGGGGACGCCGGTCGGGTCTGTACGCCGGGCGGCTAGAGAACGCGGGCCGGGTCCCTGAGCCTTGCCCCTTTCCGACAGCGGCGCGGCCTCAGACAGGCTAACTGGACCAAGGCCCACCGGCCCGGCGGGGTTGACTCTGGGGCGGAGGGGAATACCCTGTGTTTGGCTTGGAACTGGGTTAGTTTCCACTTGTCGGTTTCATGGAATGAGAGGCTGAGGTGCGGGGGCACTCGCTTACTCAGATTGTGTCTTGGAGGCCGGTAGTCACTACTCCAGAAGGAACAGGTGTGTAACCTGCCTGTGGGGCCTGGGACACAGGTGTAGGCTCTTCCATCCCTCGAGGCCTGGGATGAGTGTGCTGCTCTAGCGTGGAGCCGAGGCTTAGGCGGGGTGTCCATCTGTTAGAATTTGTGCGCACCCTGTGAGGTTCGGTCCAGTTTCTCTCTGGATGCGAAGTGTGCCGTGGAGTGAGGGCAGCAGGGGACACTTGGGTCTCTAACGTTCGAGGCCGTTCCTGTGTCCTGGTTAGTTCTCCAAGTGTGGTACTAGGGGGAAGTGGTGGTGGTGGGGAAGGGCAGAGTTGCCTAAAATGTTTGCGTGTGCTTCAAAGGAGAGAAGGTGGGATGGATTAGTGTCAGTAAGAGAGGATCCATGCCACCGATTCTCAGTAACTGCTGGGGACCCTTCTCCAAACAGGCATGCCTCCTTCATACCTTGCTAATATTAGATTGATACTGGAATGGTCAGGAAGGCTGTGTCCACTACCACACTCCCAGCACCCCAAAGAACAAACCAAACGTGGTTGTTAACTTGTGGTGCCAGCTTTACTCCAGATGTCAGCGATTAGGAGATCAGTTATGAATCAGGTGTGTGTTTCAAGTATCTGATGTAAATAGGGATGGAGACTCTACATGTGTTTGTGTAAGATATGGGTTTGCTTGTGGTTAAACTTAAGAAGAGTAGATATTGAAATCTCTGGTAATAGCTGGTGTATTCCATATAATGCAGAATAAAGATAAACGAGAAAAAATTCTGGTTGATCTTTTGGATTTCTTATCTCAAAGAGACATAGGTGAGAAAATTTTTTCCAGGGGTCAAGGGAATAGTATGTTACTTATCCTTTATATATACATTTTCTTTGTACCTGGACCAGTATCAGCAGATGGGTGTTTTCTGTCTCCAGAATACTGGGACATCTTGGTGACTTTTCAGCTCTTTCCCACTCTTTTATAGACGTTTCAACCATTGGGATATCAAATGTCAGTTATGTATGTTAATGAAAAGTAAGTCCTGTTAAACTTAAGTGTTTTTAACTTTTGATCTGTTTATAGTTTTCACAAGAGTTTAGATAGCATCTTAACCTACAGTTCAGGTGTCATCTGTACATATTTGTAAGAACAAACTGTTCTATTCTTAAATGGATCTTAATGTTTGAATTATCTTCATTCTCTGTAACAGCCTTTCTGTTGCTTTATCCAACCTTAAGCACCGCAGAGAGAAGAGAAAACTCCTACTTCTAATATTTATAAATTTCAGGAAAGGACACTGGTTTATTTGGATATAAGGGTGTCATGTGCTTATTGTTCTGGCTAAGCAGATAGGGTATTTGATTGGCAGAACCACCAAAATTACATGGTTGACCTCTGTTTCTAAAGTCCATGAATAAAGTGAAATGAATACCCTCAAGTGTGATGCCCAGTTAGCTACAAATAACATCATCCTTGATTAAAACTACCTTCACATGGATCAGAGTATAAATTTTCAAGTCCTGTGCGCTCTGTGCTTCACCAGCATAATTAAATTAGAAAGAAAACACTTTCAGACTTTTTTTCTGTCTTACATGTAAGTGTCTGGTTGCAGTTCAAGGTTAAAGTGACTTATTTCCACATCACTTGTGACTGGTGGTGTAATATCTTTACTGCTGGTTTCTGAAATCTTATTTTTCCAGTTTTTCCTAGGCCCTTGAAGAAGGTTTCTTGGTGGCTCAGCTGGTAAAGAATCGGCCTGTGATATGGGAGACCTGGGTTTATTCCCTGGGTTGGGGAGATTCCCTGGAGAAGGGAAAGGCTACCCACTCCACTCTTCTGGCCTGGAGAATTCCATGGACTACAGTCTGTGGGGTTGCAAATCATCAGACATGACTGAGTGACTTTCACTTTTGAAAAAGTACCTTGAAAATTGAGTACCACTGCAGTACCCTGCGAAGGAGTCATGTAGGAGCCTGACATATGATCTCTTAGGAAATCAGTCACAGTCAGTTTTTGCTCCATGTTGGAACAGTGTGCTGTGTGTTACTTTGAGCACAGGTGAAATGGATTGTGTGAGAGGCATGTGAGAAGTGAGACTGATGAAAGGCCAGCAGATACCCATCCCTTCCCCACACACACTCAGAAGCTTGTTACTGAGTGGAATCGTATACAGAGTCCAGCCCCTACGAGAATCATTTCTTTTTTTTCTTTCTGTTTGCCTAAGATAATGGTTGAATTCCTGTAAATTGAATGAATGTACTATGTGCATGCTTAGTTGTTATAGTCGTGTCTGACTCTTTGCAGCCTTATGGACTGCACCCTGCAAGGCTTCCCTGTCCATGGGATTCTCCAGGCAAAAATACAGGAGTGGGTTGCTATGCCCTCCTCCAAGGGATCTTCCTGACCCAGGGATCCCGACCCAGGCATCTCTTAACCCCATCTGCATTGGTAGGTGAATTCTTACCACTAGTGCCTCCTGGAAAACCCCGAATATGATATATTTTTCACTGTTTTCATCTTGGCCTATAGGTCGAATTAATGTAAAAAGCACAAAATGTTTGAAATTATGGAGTTTGTGTCATGTCATACGTGAGCAAAATGGTCATTTAAAAAAATGTTAGAGATTGGAAAAAAACTTAATTTCAGAGAGGGGAACTTGCAAGGTGGGGGGCTTTTGGGGGAGTAGAATGACTAACCGTATTTTATTTTGAATGACCAAAACTGCTGTTTTAAAGCTCTGGAAGCCAGTGATGCAGCATTGCTTGGCTGCTTCTGTGGGGAGGGTGAGTAGATGCATGGATTGGAGTAATTAGGCTACTGTGTAATTTGGCACTGGGAATTCAGTGATGGAAAAAGGGCAGATGTGATCTTTGCTTTCTTGGAACCCACATTACGGTTGAGGGAAGGAAATGGAGGTTCAGACACTGAAAAAAAAAGATTGTAATGTGATAGGTGTAATAAAAGGAGAACAGTGTTACAGGTACTTGCTAACTGGGAACCTAGTCTAGTTGAGCAGGAGAAAAAAAGACTTTTGAGGAGGCAAAGTTTTAGCTGATATCTGAAGGATGAATATGATCATCTGTAGTTGACAGGCCTGATTGCATAAAAGTGAAACTCAATTATAACTTGGCTTGTTATGGCATAGATTCCTATATGCTATGAGTCAAGTAGTATCCTCTGAAGCTTAACAATTACAGGTAATAAAACTGATATATTTAGTTCACAACACAAGTGTTATTCCTGTCTTCTAATTCTTGTGTTGATCAGTAGATACATATTGAATGTCTGTGTAGCTATGCAAGTTAATGAACCCAGTGATGTGAAGTAAGCAGACACCTGGTCCCATTTCTGTTGTACAATTGGGGAGAAAAGATGTAGTCACATGGTAAATTAACTAATGAATCAATATAAGGAAGGTGCCAAGGTGTTGTTCTAAAGACGTTTGTTCTGGATTCTGAGGATGGTTAGGGAGAGAAGGTTCTCAGAAGAAAGGTCAGAAAGAGGGAATTTAGATAAATGGAAGGAAAAGGAAGGGAATGTGAGCTAGTGAGAGCAGACATGGAGGAAATGGAAGCTATTCTTGAGGGACTCTGGATACATATAATAAGGTTAGTTTTAATGGAACTATTATTCTGCCTGGAATGGCTTAAATTTTGGAATTTAATCCTGTAGGCATTCTGGAACTGTTAAAAATAAGCCCATTTACCAGAGTAAGATAATAGAAAACCTCGTAGAAGTTCATTCTCTGTTACATTTTTCTTCACAAGTGACAAGAAGACAACTCGAAACAAATAGAAAAGAAACACTTGGATTGGAAAGACCAGAAACAAAGTTGGCATGTAAAATTGCTTCCATGTCATGATTTTGTGATATCTTTCAAAGGCTATAGTATATTAGGAAAAAACCCAACTTGATTTGATTTCAGTGTAATGTGGTAAGTGTCTCATATAACACTTTTGGAAGGAAAAGAATGTCAGCAAATTAAACAGGATCCTGAAACTTGAACAGTTGGGAATGTCTGCTGAAGTTTAAAAAAAAAAAAAACTAGTGGAAGAATTCCACTTTAACCTGGCTTAATATAGGTCACATTCTAGAGTTCTTATTCAGTTGGCCAGTGTCGTAATGGGGTCATTGCTGTTTATATGGTACACATCTTTTTGTTTTCCCCACATGTTCCTTGGCCCTCCTTTATTCTTTGGTCGGGAATAATTAAGAGGGAGTAACCTTGGGAGCTCTCAGGATGTCAGATGATCTTTGGTTGAAGCTATTAAATTATTAGTTTATCAGTCCTCAGAAATGGACAACATATGGGGTAATCATGATTCTGTGATATACATTCTCTGTTAGATTAATCTGATTCACGTAACCTGTTGTGTAGTCTGAAGGTACACTGGCATGGCATCCCCTTGAAAATTATAAAAACCCTAGATTACGGGATGGTTGAGTGAAAACTAATTATAGAATGTATCTCAAGAGGAAATTACTAGTAGTTCATTTGTTTGTTCTGCATCGAGTGTGTAATATCAGTCAGTTCAGTTGCTCAGTCGTGTCTGACTCTTTGTGACCCCATGAACCTCAACACGCCAGGCCTCCCTGTCCGTCACCAACTCCCAGAGTTTACCCAGACTCATATCCATTGAGTCAGTGATGCCATCCAACCATCTCATCCTCTGTCGTCCCCTTCTCCTCCTGCCCTCAATCTTTCCCAGCATCAGGGTCTTTACAAATAAGTCAACTCTTCGCATCAGGTGGCCAAAGTATTGGAGTTTCAGTTTCAACATCAGTCCTTCCAATGAACACCCAGGACTGATCTCCCCAAGGATGGACTGGTTGGATCTCCTTGCAGTCCAAGGGACTCTCAAGAGTCTTCTCCAACACCACAGTTTGAAAACGTCAATTCTTCGGCGCTCAGCTTTCTTCACCGTCCAACTCTCACATCCATACATGACCACTGGAAAAACCATAGCCTTAACTAGACGGACCTTTGTTGACAGAGTAATGTCTCTACTTTTTAATATGCTGTCTAGGTGTAATATCAAGTACCATGTATTAAGCATTTCATCAGTAGTCTGCATTTGGAAGAGTTTGCTCAATAAATATTTGGGCAATACCAAGTGACAAGGGAGGGGTAGGTATTTCAGAATGCCGGTGATATGGCCAGAAAGAAATTAATTGAAGTTTGCTAATGTGTTCATTTTCTATTTCTGCTGTAACAAATTACCACAAATTTCATGGCTTAAAAAAACCACAGATTTATTATTTTACAGTGCTATAGTGCACCAGTCCAGCATTGGTCTTACTGGGCCAAAACCAAACTGTGACAGGGCCAGGGTCCTTCTAGAAAAGAGTCCATCTCCTTGTCTCTTGCAGTTTCAAGAGACTGCCTAAATTCCTTGGCTCCTGGCACCCTCCCTCCATCTTCAAGGCCTGCAGCATAGCCCTTCTCTGACCCTGCTTTTGTTGTCACATCTCTTTCTCTGACACTGTCTTCTGCCCCTTCCTCACACTTTTAAAGACTCTCTGGTTACATTGGGCCCATCTAGATAGTCCAGGGTAGTCTCCCCAACTGAGGATGCTAGCCTCTACCATTCAGTTTATGTTTTGCTGTTTGTGTTTAGTCGCTCAGTTGCATCCAACTCTTTTGCGACCCCATGGACTATAGCCCACTAGGTTCTTCTGTCCATGGAATTCTCCAGGCAAGAATACTGGAGTGGGTAGCCATTTCCTGCTTCAGGGGATCTTCCCCATCCAAGGATTGAACCCAGGTCTCTTGCATTACAGGTGAATTCTATCCTGTCCGAATCACCAGAGAAGTCGATTCAGTTCATAAGGAAACTTTGCTATTATTGTTATTATAAGAAGTATAGCCTTTTGGTAAGGTAGCCTTTGGATATACTTAGCAATGGCTAGACTTTTATAAAAGTACCAGATCTTGTTTCAGGCTCTTTAAAAGAATTTGGAAATCTTGAGGTTTTAAATTTCTTAAATACTTGTTCTGTGTTCAGACATTATTCTAAATGCTTTATAGTCATTATATCATTTGTTCTTCACAGTAACTCTGCAAAATAGGTAATTGTATTCCTGAGAGTTGGGAGTCTTAATTGTGACTCTTCCCTCCCCCCCCCCCCAAAAAAAAAAAAAAGAAAAATTAGGGGACTATGTTGGCTTAGGTAGCCTAAATGCTGGAAGGCTATGTCTGGAGCTAACATCATACATAAAAGATTGGAGCCTGGGGCCTGCATGGTATCAGGACACTCTTTTCTCCTCTTCTTTGGTTCTGGTTATAGGCTGCTTTCATTCTTGCTCAAGAATTTGTATCGAGAGTGTAAATTTTGTTGGTAGAGACAGTGACAGATGCATGGTAGGTCTTGATATGGGTTGAATAAATGACCTCCTTTTCTGCAAAATGGGACGGGGTAGAGGTGGGGAATATTGCTTAGCCTTATTATTCATTGTTTAACGAACAGTTCCATTTTGGTGCATCTTGGTGAAGGACCCTGGCTGTATTGTGCAGTCTTTGTTAATAGGGGCTTTTTTATTGACAGCCTTCACAAGTAGCACATAGTTTGAAAGAGCTTTCTGCAGAACAAGAGGTGATGCTCTGGGCAAACAGCACAAATGGCCACAATATTTCATCTTACAGATAATAGAAATAGAGGAGCTCAGAAAGGGTAGATTGATTGACCAAGGTCATAGATAGGAACTGGTAAAGTCCAGATTCAGGTAATTATTTTAATTGACTCTTTGGTCTATATTCTTTCCAGTTTGCCACCACATTACACCAACAGGAGCTCGGTGAAGTGGAGGTTGGAAATGAAGTAGGGTGGCATGGCAGGGTGACATTCTTTTTTCACAGAATGCTTGATTTCTTGAAACTTCTTCAGCATGGTATTGGAGTTCACAGATACTGAGCTGTTTTGAGAACTTCTTATTAACTCCAGATAGAAGATATAAAAAGAGCCAGGAAAAAATTGTTTTCCTTTTGGAGTTATTTTGGGGACACAAATGTGAAGAATGAAACGTTTTAGGTTATAGAGTCATTTAAAGTTTCTGTTTTTGTTATGTGGTTTTTTCCATTATTTTTAAAAATATATAAGAATAAAACTTAACTGTCTTCAGGAAACACTGATTGTGAATATTTGTGCATATTTGTAAGCATTCCTAGACTAATTGAAATCATTTTTGCTAAGTGGTACAAATAAGAGGGAACTTTATTGAGAAGTAATTTGTCATGAGCCAATTCAGTCTTCTTTGAAGAAAGACTCATAAAGACTAATACTGCTCCTGCCTTTGGCTTATTGCAAAAGAAGTACATTTAGTACCCGAGATTGGAAAGATGCTTTCAAATGTTGCCAGACACAGAGTACTCTCAGTTATGTCTTCTAGGAATGTGGTCGATAGCATGTGTTTGTAGGCCAGAGCCTCAGAGTCTGTCTGCTGTGACACGTGAAAAGAATTAATCTGTTTGGTAATATACAAATGTACTAGCTACACAAATTGGTCTCAGCTCTTGAAAATCAGTCTTCATGAGTCTACGTCTTACGCATAGTAGATATTCATTGTAAAAAATTATAAAAAGAAATAAGGAAGTGGAATTCACATTAAGCCCTTAAAAATGAGCCTGCAATGTAAAGTAATTAGCCTCCAACTAATAAAAATAAATGGAAAAAAAAAATGAGCCTGCTGCTGCTGCTAAGTCGCTTCAGTTGTGTCTGACTCTGCGCGACCCCATAGACGGCAGCCCACCAGGCTCCCCCGTCCCTGGGGTTCTCCAGGCAAGAACACTGGAGTAGGTTGCCATTTCCTTCTCCAATGCATGAAAGTGAAAAGTGAAAGGGAAGTCCCTCAGTCGTCTCCGACTCTTAGCGACCCCATGGACTGCAGGCTACCAGGCTTGTTTGTCTGTGGGATTTTCCAGGCAGGAGTACCGGAGTGGGGTGCCATTGCCTTCTCCGAAAAATGAGCCTAATTAGATAAAACTGTCAGTGAGTTTTTGGCATGTTATTTTTAAAAGAACAGTAACAACAACTAATTCTCAACTCCTTTTAAGAAAATTAATTCTTTCAATGGCTCAGTGGTTGTCAGCTTTTTTTTCTGCCTTCACTTCAGTAAGGAATAGAGAGTAAGAGAAGTTTGTCTGGTGGGGAAGTTTGGTGGTACGTGAGCACTTATTTGTGCAGTCATGTCTTTGACTCTGTGACCCCACAGACTGTAGCCCGCCCTGCTCCCCTGAACATGGGATTTCCTAGGCAAGAATACTGGAGTGGGTTGTCATTTCCTTCTGCTGTCTGCGGGTAGTATATCATTTGAGAAATTTTCCTACTGAGAAGTGCTCATGGGGTACCATGGAAAACACCTAGTCTAGAAAACAAAATTACTTTGCTTTTATTATTATCATTAATGTGGCATTGTTTCTATTTTCATATTTTTGTTTTTTTATTGTTTACAGGCAGAGCTAAGTGATAAACGTTTTAAAGTTTGGTCACTTGTATCCTAATTATAACACAAACTAAAAACATGTAAGGGCAAATTTAATGGTTAAACTATATATATTTTTTTCCTGCGTATTTTTAGTTTTTCAGAAATTTTGCAGACAGTTGTTTTCTAGACAGTTTTTTTTTAAAGTAAACCACATTATGTTTCTTTTTGATATGATATTGTATCATTTAGAGCTGTGAAAAAACAAATTTTTCATGCATTTCTTTTTCTTTACTGCCTCTGCTTTCCCTTAACTAGCCTTCTTTCTAGAAATCTCTAGTCAGCTGTGGAATTATTTTACACTGGCGTCATTGTCTCCTCTACTAGATCTGAACCTTTAGATTTGCTAGTGTCCTATTAAGTGACTTGCTATCCATTCTGGGCCCTCTGTGTCTACACTGTTTCCCTTAGAGGTCTATGGCCCTGTCTGGATGCTGATGCTTATCTTCACAGAGAATTGGAGATCTGCTCAGGTTTGGGAATGTGAAGAAGGGGTTAACTGCAGATTTCGGCACCAGTTACCCTCTTGTTCTTAGGTACATAAATCTGGTTGGTACCAGGTCTAGTGGTTGAGCTTGTCCTATGTCATCACCGTCACCGGATTTAAGACTTTGGGTGGTGGGCCACTTCCCAGGCTCCTAAGTCAGATATTCCTCCTTTGTGCTCCCATAAAAACCCTCCCCCCATATCATAGCTCGTACCCTAGGATTGATTTCTCTTTGTCTATAATCAGATGATTGAGTGAAATCAGTTTCCACCAAAGTCTGACCCAGTAAGTCTTTGGTATGTCCATTTGAGGAAGTCTAAATAATATATTTTTTCTTTTTTGAAAGGAGATCATCATTCAGTTCATCATGATCTGAGGCTAAAAAACAAAACAAAAACTTGCTTGGATTGACTGAATACAGTTATTAAAAGTAAACATGGAAAATGAACCAGACCATGAAAATGTGGAACAAAGCCTCTGTGCCAAGACTACTGATGAGGAACTGAACAAGTCTTTCAGTCTAGAAGCTTCACTTTCAAAATTCTCTTACATAGATCTGGACAAGGAACTGGAGTTCAGAAATGATCTGGTAAAAATTCAGCTTTTGTCAAGTGGTGATGTTTAACCCAAATGTTGTTTAGAGTGCACTTTATAATCCAAAGACTTAATTCATCATTTTTGCATAGATTAATAGGCATCTATATACAGTTTTATGAAATAATACTACTCTTCATTTCTATAGCTGATTATAGTTTATAAAACACTCTAATACATCTTCTCATTTGAGCTTCACAACACTCTGATAGTCCATTTTCACAGGGGAAGAAGCTCAAGTGCAGCTATGTTCAATATCTCTATCATAGTGCTAGTGGTAGACTTAGAATTCTTGTGCAGTGATTTTTTTTCCTTCATTGATCTGATATCAATAGGTTTTTGTGACAATATGAATATTTAATAGCAAGTTGTTTGACCCAACCACCATAATTTATGAAATAATTAGGAAATTCAGTGTCAGACCTTTGTATATCTGTTATGACTTAGAAGTTTAGGGTTGTCGTAAGAAATGCTCTTTTGTTTAAGAAAGCAGATGCCAAAGCCCTTCAACAGAAGCTTTCTGGAAAGGATTGTTAGGATGTTGCCATCAGTGCATATTTGTTCTTGATAAACTCTGAATATGTGGATAGAAAGGGAAACAGTTCGGTAGTTTTTTGATCTGACCCTTAATATCATGAATTATTGAGTTGGCTTTCCGTGAGAAGAGTTTGGTGGTCTGTTTGTCTTCTAATTGATAATGGGTCTAATCAATCAAAACACCCTCCCAATTATAAGAGAGAAAGCATTATTATGTGAGCATTAATTTCTTTTCTCTATTTAGATTGATGATAAGGAGTTCGATATTCCTCAGGTTGATACTCCTCCAACACTGGAAAGCATACTGAATGAAGTAGGTATATATTAACAATCGCTGTTTATCATGTTGATTTGAATACTTCTGGGTTATAGTGTATGTTTCCAGATCTTCATTGTCTAATACCAGAGCCAACAGTCACATGTAGCAATTTAAACTGATTACAGTTAAAGAAAAGTTAAAAATCCATTTGCTCAGTTGTACAAGGCACACTTCAAGTGCTCAGTTGTCACATGTGGCTAGTGGCTATTGTAGTGGACAGCGTAGATGCCAAGAGTATTTCCATTATTGCAGAAAGTTCTAGATTGTGAGCTTTTCAGGGGCAGAAGCCGTGTCTTGTTTGTCTCTGTGCCCAGGACAATACCTCATACTTGGGCCTACTAAAGAAATGTTTTATTAAGTGAGTTGAAATACTAAATTCATGACACTTTTGAGATTTGTATTATGTTTTGATAATGTCATCTCTACCAGCAGTGTTCAAATAGCTCGTCCTCAGGAGATACAAAAGAGCATCCACAGCCTTGTAATGCATTTCATCACCTTTCTATATAAAGAAAATGAAGCCGCCATGTTTATCTTGTGAATACCATTTTGATTAAAAAGTTTCTCAGAGCTCTGAAATGATGTTACTTTCTGAATTAGCAGATCATAAAGGCTTTATAAAGGAGCTCTTTGGAAGTACATGTTAATGAAGTGTGCTATCTTTTTTGTACCCTGCATCGGCTGACAATTCTTCAACTCAGTCTTCTTGATCTTTTAACAACTTGCTTAAGACTCCATTGGAAGTTTTAGCTCCTAATTTGAGAAAGATTTATAAAAATCTATTTCAGATCCATAGTTATGTTTTGTAAAAGATAATGATGCAAAGATTCCTCAACAGAAATGCCCACTAGCCCCATAGGTGGGGTTGGGCCCTGGTTTGCTTTTTTTTTTTTTTTTGGCTCTGGCCCTTTTATTACTTCTTTATCTATACTTTTAGGTTTATAGGCAGTACTATATAGGATGCAACTACTTTCTCTATGAATTATATCTTTTATTCTTTTAAAATATCAGCTCGATATTGCTGTTTCTTTGAATATATTTTTAAATGTTATGTTTGATCTGTATTAAGAATACTTGAGCATTTATAATTTTGACCAAGAAGGCTTTGGTCAATGAGAGACTATCCTGTTAAAGTCATATTTATTTATTGCTTACTAATAGAGAGGAAATCTTTCATTTAGAGATGAAGAGATTAATTTGTCAGTTTTCATAACATGATGTTAATCACATAATTATTTCAATTACAAAGTGAGAACTAAAAGTAGTCTTTAGAGGATGTGTACAAAGCCCTGTTTGTACATCTTTGTACAATAATGTCAAAGTAATGCTCTTATGAATGAGGCTGTAGTTTATAGTGAAGGAAAGCTATCTTTGCAGAATTTACATACCTACTGGTATCTGTAAGTATAATAATCACTAGTGGTTATCTTCCTCACTGATCTGGGTGCCTTTGCATTTGGGTCACAGTGTTAAGTACTGCGATTATGAAGTGCTATGTGATTGTCTCTGATTTTGAGAGAAAAATAGGACTGGAAATTGGCTGGCTGTCACACCATCAGGGAGCTCAACAGGTGGACAAGTGAAAATAAAAATAAATTGTAGGACATTATGAAGACTAAAAAGGGAAGAAGTATTGAAGAGTGATTTTAAGAAAGAAAAGGGACAAAAGTAGAAAGTGTAAATAAGCACTTGCTCCAGGATATGTGGGTATGTATATCCTATAAAATTCTTAAATAAACCTGAAGAGATGCTGGGAAGAAGTGAACATCTATTTTACAGAAAGTTACAGATTACTGAAACATACTAAATCTCAGAACTTAGGTCATGAAATAATGTTACTAGGCCTTGTCATCCTTTGAAACGGTGCTACTTCTGAGGTTTCTAATCTTGAAATTCCATTCTCTAATAATAATCGTCCTCCATTCTTACATTCTCTCCCTTCCATTAAACCTCCTCTTTGACCTCCTGAGGGCCAAGTCTCTTGATCCTGTTTAGTCCCCAGTGTTTGAGAGTAGCCCTGACTTCAGTTCTGCTGTTGGCTCATGTAGCCGGATATTTCTTTTGAACTTTTAATGGAGATATCACATACGTAAAGAAAAAGTGTACAGCTTGGTGAATTTTCACAAACAGAATTCTTCATGTGGCTGGAGTCCATCTGAAGAAATAAAGCATTGCTAGCACGCCAGAAACTCCTCTTGTGCTCCTTTAGTATCAAACCCAGGATAATCACTATCCTGACTTCTACCAGCATTAATTGGCTTGATGGCTTTGAACTTCCTAAAAATGGAATTATACAATATATGCTTCTGTTTGTCTGACTTATTTCCCCTAATATTGTGTTTTTAGACTCATTTGTATTTTCCTGCATATAGTTATTCATCCATTCCCATTGCTGTGTAAAATACATACCATTTTTTTATTCATTTTTTTCATTTATTTTTTAAAATTTCATTAATTTTTTTCATTTTATTTCATTTTTATTCATTTATTCATATTTATGGGCAGTTTTATAATATTCAGTTTCTGGCCACTTTGACAAGTGCTGCTGTAAATATTCTTATGCATGTCTTTAGGTACCTATACACATGTTTTCACATACACACACACATTTCTTCTGGGTATGTACCTCAGAGTAGAATAGCTGTGTCATCAGATATGGGCATGGTCAGCTTTGGTAGATACTGCCACAGGTTTCTCAAAGTGGTTGTGATAGTGTATGCTTTCTGCAGCAATATATGGATATGGTTATATATATATATATATATGTATATATAACCTTATATGGTTATATATGATATTACCATATATATTACCATAGCATATATATGGTAATACATATATATTCCATATCTTCATCAACTTTTTAATTTTTCTCTTTTTCACGTTAACCATTCATACCTAATAGGTGTGTAGTAGCATCACATCAGAGTTTTAATCTGAATTTCCCTGAAGATTGATGAAATTGTGTTCCTTGACATACGTTGTAGCCTTTTGGATATCTCTTTTGTGAATTGCTTTTTCATGTCTTTTGCCCTTTTTCTGTTGAGTTGATTTTTAAAGTATTTTTAGGAGTTCTTTATATGTGATGTATATAAGCTTTCTATTAGATGTATGTATTGCAAATATCTTCTTCCATTCTGTGGGTTACTTTTTCCCTCAGTTAATGGTGTCTTTCGATGAGCAGAAGGTCTTAGCAGAAGTTCAGCTTACTAAGTTTTTCCATTTTTGTTAGCTTTTTGCTGCATCCTATTGAAGAAAATTTTGCAAATTTCAAGGTTATGTTGATGCCGTCTTATTTTGAAATCTTTATGTTCTACCTCTTACATTAGATCTGCAGTTCATGTGAAATTTGTGTGTGTGATAGTGAGAGGTATGAGGCAGCAGCACTTACTGAGCACCATTTTCTGTGGTGTCACTTTTTGTTTTAAATCAGGTGATTGTATATGGTGGGTGTGATTTCATTGGTCTTTCTGTACTTGCCCCAATATCACAGTCTGTTTGAACCTTTATAATAGGTCTTGATATCTAGTAGATTCAAATCTTGCAGCTTTTTTGTTGTTCTTTAAGATTGCCTTGCTTATTCTTAGTCTTTTGCATTTCTGCATAAGTTTTAGAATCACCTTATTGGTTTACACACACACACCAGGTGAAATTTGATAGGATTGTATAAATTCTACACATCAGTTTGTGAGAATTGATATCTCTACCGTGTAGCTTCCATGGTGGCTCAGTTGGTAAAGAATCCACCTGCAATGCAGGATACCCTGGTTTGATTCCTAGATTGGGAAGATCCCCTGGAGGAGGGCATGGCAACCCATTCCAGTATTCTTGCCTGGAAAATCTCCATGGACAGAGGATCCTGGTGGGCTGCAGTCCATGGGGTCTCAAAGAGTCGGACACAACTGAGCGACTAAGCACAGCACACACCGTGAAGCTAGTAATTTTAAATTCAGCCTCACTGATACCCTTAATTATCTTCCTGATTTTTTTCCCCCCACTTAATCCCGTAAGCCCTCAACCCTGGCTTAATTTAGCTAATCTATTTTCTTTAATTATATCCCTGGGCTGCTTAAGAAAATCAAATAAGATTCTAGCTGACTCTGTTGCTTAAGACCTTGGTTCTGCATTTCATTTATGAGTTGTTTCCGTTCCCTTTCCCTAAGGCAGTCCTTCCATTCTTGCACAGCTCTCAAGTAACTCCTTGCAAACCTTCATCTTGTTCTTAGCACTCCATTTGTGTGTGGAGATATCTGTAAAACAGTTGGAAATGTGGCTTAAACGTCAAGAGAAATGTTGGTACTAAAGATACAGATTTTGGAGTCCTTAGCATGATATGGTATTTGAAGCTATAGGTGTGGATTTGCTTTTTCATACAGAAAGTTTGTGAAGTAGGAAGAGACAAGAGCCAAGAATATAATCCTGGGAACAAAATCACTCAAAGGTTGGGTTGAAAAGAAAGTAGAGAACATAACTAATAGAAGAGGCCACATAAGTTGAAGGAACAGTAAATAAGAGATGTATTGGAAACTAAGGGAATAGAAAATTTCCAGAAGTGAGGCTTGGCCAGTGGTATTACTTGATGCATACGGGGCAGTAGCTTGCTAAAGGAAAACAGGCCGGCAGATTTGACTGGTAACTTCAAGAATAGTAGTCAGTGGCCAGTAATGGGTCGAGAAAGTGGAGTGTGGACTGCTGTCTTAACAATGTGGATCGAAATAAGGGAGAAGGTAGTCCAGCTGAAACCGAAGGTATGATCAAAGCTTTTTTCTCTAATGTTTGCTGCCTAGAATCAGCTTGTTTGAAGCTAGACTCATTTTGCTTTATCTGCTGTTCTTTCTTATCTCAATTAGTAGTATTACCTTTTGCCTAGTTGCTCTAGCTAGAATCCTTGGAATCTTTTTTGACTTTCTTAAACTTAACCCCCCCCCCCCCCCCAAAGCACTGTTTAAATGGTAAGCAGGAATCTTTAACTTTACCTCAATAATGTCTCCTTATTCCTTCTCTTGACCCCTTCAGCTGCATTCCTAGACTGAACTCTCCTGTCTTTCCTTGACGTTGCAGTAGCCTTCTTTCTGGTTCTTATTAGTCTCCCTGCCCCAGTCTTCCCCTCTACTCTCATTCATCTTCATTCTGCCCCATTTATCTTTTTAAACATGATTCTCATCATGTGTTGATTTCTTAGAGATCTCCTTGCCTTCCAACTGCCTGCTGTATGCAGTACATTAATTTATTAAGTAAATGAGTACTGATTATGTGTTTGGCATTGTACTAGGCACTAGGAATACAGTGGTGAATGTGGGACTTCCTGTCACCTAGCTTAATGAAATCTAAACCTTTTTACAAGGTGGGTCCTAGCTTATGTTTCTAGGATCATCTCCAACTCCTACTTGTATACTCCGCTCATCTTAGACTACTTCCTTTTTCATTGGCACAATCCATATTATGAAATCACTGTGTTTGTACATGCTGTTTCCAACCTAGAATGCCTTTCTTCTGTTTGTCATGTTTGTTAAGGTGTACTGTTTATAGTCAGGTGGTGTTTATTTTCTTCAATCAGCCATTGGCTGTTAGTTAACTAGTAAAGCACCTAGACAGGTTTGAATATGAAGAAATATTTGGCAACTAAAAATATAATCTGCGTAACTGCTCCTACATCTTTCAGCTACAAGAAATAAGTTTTTGGAGTGAAAAAAGTAGGGAGAGATATCTAGAGTTGAAATTTAATTCTGTACTGTGCCTCTCTGGTCAATGGCAGTGCACGGAAAAGGGGTGAAAAACAGAGTAAGCATGTGTTTATTTAGCAGAAACCCATTAATGCCTGTTTTGACTTACAGAGTATTTGGACTTTTGAATTTATGTATCCATGTTCTTCTAATTTAGACTGATGATGAAGATGAATCTTTTGTTCTTGAAGATCCTACATTGTTAAACATTGATACTATTGATTCTCACTCTTACGATACTTCATCTGTGGCAAGCTCAGATAGTGGTGACAGGACCAACTTGAAAAGGTAAGTATTCTTTTTTTTAAAAAGTTATAGTTGAAATAGAATTGTGTTGATTTCTGCTGTGTAGCAGGAGTGACTAAGTTATACATATACATACATTTTTCATATTCTTTTCCATTATCCCAGGATATTTCCAATATCTCAGGATATTGAATGTAGTTCCCTGTGCTATACAGTAGGGCCTTGTTGTTTATTCATTCTTTATGTAATTCTGCTAACCGCACATTCTCAGTCCATCCCTCCCCCACCTTTCCACCCCCTTGGCAACCACAAATCTGTTTTCTTTGTCTGTGAGTCTCTTTCTGTTTCAAAGATAGATTGATTTATGCCATATTTTAGATTCCACATAAGGGTGATATCATATTGGTATTTGTCTTTCTTCTTCTGACTTAATTCACTTGGTATGATAATCTCTGGTTGCATCCATGTTGCTGCAAATGGCATTACTTAATTCTTTTTTTTTTTTTTTAATGACTGAGTAGTCTTCCAATGTATGTAGGTACCACCTCTTTATCCATTCATCTGTCAGTGGACATTTAGATTGTTTCCCTGTCTTGGGTCTTGTGAGTAGTGCTGCTAAGAATATAGGGGTGCGTGTGTCTTTTTGAATTATAGTTTTATCTGGCTATATGCCCCAAAATGGGATTGCTGTATCATATGGTAATTCTATTTTTAGTTTTCTGAGGAACCTTCATACTGTTTTCCACAGTGGCTGTACCAACTTACATTCCCGGTAAGAGTGTAGGAGCATTCTCTTCTCTCTATACCTTCTCCAACACATGGCCATTTTGACTGGTGTGAGGTGGTATTTCATTGTGGTTTTGGTTTACATTTCTCTAACAGTGATGTTGAGCATCTTTTCATGTGTTTGTTGGCTATCTGTATGTCTTTGGAGAAATGTCTGTTTAGGTTTTCTGTCCATTTTTCGATTGGTTTTTCTTGTTGTTATTGAGTTGTATGAGCTATTTATATATTTTGGAAATTAAACCCTTGCTGGGTGTATTGTTTGCCAATATTTTCTCCCATTCTGTAGGTTGTCTTTTCGTTTTGTTTAAGGTTTCCTTTGCTGTACAAAAAGCTTGTACATTTTATTATGTCCCATTTGTTTATTTTTGTTTTTATTTCTTTTGCCTTGGGAGACTGACCAAAGAAAACATTGGTACGATCTATGCCAGAGAATGTTCTGCCTATGTTCTCTTCTAGGAGTTTTATGGGGTCATGGCTTATGTTTAAGTCTTTAAGCCATTTCGAGTTTATTTTTGTGCATGATGAAAAGGTGTGTTCTACCTTCATTGCTTTATATACATCTGTTCAACTTTTCCAGCACCACTAAGCTGAAGAGACTTTTTTTTTCCCCCATTTTATATTCTTGCCTTCTTTGTCGAAGATTAATTGACTGTAGGTATATGGGTTTATTTCTGGTTCTCTGGTAAGTATTCGTTTAAATCACACTTGCATACAATATGGTCTGCTGGAGCCCTGCATAGAAAGTAGAAGGCCGCTTAAGTGGAAATAAAATGCTTGTTAGACCCTGAAGATTTTGGTACTGTTGAGAGGAGAGAATAAGGTGGATACCATGTCAGTCTTCTGCACCTCCAGGGTGTGTGCTCAGTCACTCACTTGTGTCCAACTCTTTGCAGCCCCATGGACTGTAGCCCACCAGGCTCCTCTGTCCATGGAATTTTCAGGGAAGAATACTGGAGTGCCGTGCCATTTCCTACTCCAGGGATCTTTCCCAACTCAGGGATCATCTCCTGTATTGGCAGGCAGATGCTTTACCACTAGCCCCACCTGGGAAGCCCTCGATAGGAGGCTGAATATAGCCTGGGAGTCCCAGAAGCAGGAGAGCCTTTAGAGGGCGCACTCTTCAGACCTAGTGCAGTGTCCATGGTGGAAATGTGGAGATGTGTGGGAAAGGTGGTGGGAATCACCTCACCAGCCTTCTGTTCCCTCCACTCCTTCCTCCACCACCTTCCTCCCACTGTCTAAGGACAGCTCCAGCATTTCTTCATTCCCTTGGAATGGGTTCAGAGGAGAGTTGCAAAGATGATTAAAGATTTGGGAAAAGAACTTCTAACCCTAAATAGCTTCATTTTGGCTGCTTTCACCTTCCACATTCTTGGAGAGCACATGAAAAGGAAAGAGAAGTGGAGGAAGCATAATGTAAATGCTTTATTGAATTCATGTGTAACTTTAATGTTGATAACTTGTCAGTGTATTTTTCTTCAACTTCTTAAATTTTGCCTGTATCAGGGCTGTATTCTTTAGGTTGTCGACTCTTGTGAAATAGGGGCCATGACTGGTTATATTAACTTGTTCATCAGTTTCTTCTACAACTGAACTTTGTTCTACTTTATTGAGATATAATTGATATACAGTACTGTGTAGATTTAAGGTATACAGTATAATTCTTTGATATGTGTATATTACGAAATGATTAAATCAGCACAGAATGGTTACTTAACACCTTTACCACCTCACATAATTATAATTTTTTTCTGGAGTGAGAAAATCTAAGATCTACTTTCTTAGTAACTTTCAAGTATATAACAGTGTTGTTAGCGATAGTCATCACACTGTACATTAGATCTCCAGAACTTATTCATCTAAAAACTGTAAGTTTATATCCTTTGACTAGCATCTCTGTATTTCCCCCAGCCCCTGGATATCACTATTCTAGTCTCTGTTTCTATGAGTTGCTTTTTAAAAGGTAGTGATTTTGTTTCCTTTGGGTGTACAACCCAGAAGTAGGATTGCTGGATCACATGGTAGTTCTATTTTTAATTTTTTGAGGGACCTTCATGCTATTTTCCATAGTGGCTGCACCATTTACATCCCTACCAACAGTGTCCAGGGATTCTTTTTATTTGCATCCCCACCAACACTTATCTTTTGTTGTTTTGATAATAGCCATACTAATGGGTATGAGGTGGTATCTCATTGTGGTTTTCATTTGCATTTCCCTGATAATTAGTGATGTCGAGCACCTTTTCATGGACCTGTTGGCCATCTGTGTGTCTTCCTTGGAATAATACCTATTTAGGTCCTCTGCCCGTTGGTTTTTTTGCTCCCGAGTTATAAGAGTTCTTTTTATATATTGGTTATTATGGGGTTAAGGGTTTGCAGATATTTTTCCCTGTTCCATAGTTGCCTTTTATGTTTTGATTGCTTCTTTAGCTGTGCAGAGGCTTTTTAGTTTGATATAGTATATATAATATATATATATATAATATTTACTTATGTATATCATATGTATATTCACTTTTGTTGCTTGTGCTTTTGGTGTCATACATAACGAAAAAAATCTGTGCCAGTACCACTGTCAGGGGGCTTTTCTGTTTGCTTTTTCCTAGGAGTTTTGTGGTTTGAAGTCTTGTGTTTAAGTCTTTAATCCATTTAATCTTTGTGAGTGGTATAAGACAGAGATATGATTTCCTTCTTCTGCATGTGATTACCCAGTTTTCCTAGCATCACTTGTTGAAGAGAATATTCTCTCCTTATTGAGTGTTCTTGGCTCCTTTGTCAAATATTAGTTGACTATATATGCAAGTGGTTATTTCTGTGCTCTCTATTCTGGTCATTGATCTATGTCTTTTTTAATGTTAGTACCATACTGTTTTGGTTACTGTAGCTTGTAATACAGTTTGAAATCAGAAAGTGTGATGCCTGCAGCTTTTTTCTTAAGATTACTTTGGCTGATTGAGATCAGTTGTGTTTCTATAAACTAACAATGAAGTATATAAAAAATAGTAAAAATCACATTTACAGCAGCAACAAAAGCAATGCAGTACTTAGGAAGAAGTTTAGGAACAAGGAGGTGAAAGAGTTGTACACTGAAAGGTAAAAGACATTGATAAATGAAATTAAAGAAGACAAATAGATGGAAAGCTTTTCCATGTTCATGGATTAATTAAAATGTTCATACTACCCCTACCTATGTATAGATTTAGGTCAGTCCCTATCAGAATCTCAATGACATTTTTCTAGAAAAGCAATCCTAAAATTTGTATGGAATCACAATAACTTAAATATTTTTGATGATTTGGTCATTAACCTGCTTAAAAGCTGTGGTGTCACCTTTTTGCCCACATAGTAATGTCTGAACTGCTTTGCGTGGTGTCAGTCTGAAGCCTGCTTACTATTTTGACATAAATGCTGAGCACTCCCACTTCTGCCTCCTGGCCCACGCCTTTTGTGTACCCACACTCCCCCCACACACTGTACACCATTCCATCTTCATATTTTTGCTTGTGTTTTTGATTTTGCCCGACAGACTCCTAGTTATCCATCAAGGCCAGATCAGATGTCTTCTCTTTTCTATAGTTGTTCCTGATATCCCCTTAATAAACAGAATTAAACTCTTTGTTTCTATCATGCTTTATTCATTTTTCTTTTCTAACATTTATCCTTTAATTTGAGTGAGTTACTCATTAGTCCCTCTAGCCAGGATATGAGATCCTCGAGAGTGGGAACTTTGAGCTTTTTATTCTTGTATCCCCAGAACATACTTTTAGTCATACCGAGTAGGTGTTCAGTGTTTGGTAAAAGCTTAAAGAAGTATTTTTTGTACAGTGATGAGTAGGGTAAGTGAAAGGAGCTGTTAGTAGGAGCATCAGAGAATGAGTGATGAATAGGAAATTTGAGGCAGTTGGTTGGGAGAATGAGAGGGACGTTACAGACAACAATAGGGCAAGAATGGTTGCAGAGGTGGACGCAGCTGAGGTGATGCAGACCTGTAAGCAGGCCTTCTCTATAGGCGACCTTCCGGTGAGTAGCAGAGCCTTTTGCTGTAGTTATTAAGGTGAGCAAGGAATAGGTTGAGTCTGTGAAGAAGAGATGGTGGCTTTATTCATTTTCCTGCTGTGCTTCTCTGAGGTTCAGCGTGAATTTAGTATAACATTTTAAGGTGAGACTGTTAGATTTTAAACCTCTTCAGAAAACAGAGCTAACAAATTAATACAGTATTGCTTTCTGCTTTTCTTGTGTTTATTTACTTTTTCTTCTTTCAAAACTTTAAAGACCTTGCCTTTTCAGTTTTTATTTTCTGTTCTTAGACGTTTTCCTTTTTTTTTCCCTTAAAGAAAGAAGAAATTACCTGATTCGTTTTCACTCCATGGATCAGTTATGCGACATTCACTTTTGAAGGGAATTTCTGCCCAGATAGTGTCTGCAGCTGTAAGTATTTTGTTCTCTTCCCCCAGCTTTATAACCTGCAATGGCATAATGAAGCAGGAATGAGCATAAAACAAAGCACAGCACTTCTCTTGGCCCGAGGCTTAAGAAAAACAGAATCTGGCTTTCATGGGTTTTGTGTGATTATTTTTGACTCATAAGACATAGCTACACATCTTGACATAGAAATTAGTGCAGCCATGAAATAAAGGTCTGCCCGGAGTCTCGGGTGTGCCTAAATGAAATATGGCAGCAAGCCTAAAAGAAACACTATCTGCCTTTTCTTTAAATTCCTTTTCAGTTTAGTTGCCATCTTGTGTATTTGGTTGAGGTGGAGTAATTTTTTTTTTTTTTTAGTGTTTTCATATGGAGGAATGATTGATCAGAATCTTTTACAACTGAGTGATGTTTTTATAATTCACAAAAGTCTTTTCATGTACCTTATTTCATATACTCTTACAACTTTGAAAGTAGGGAAAGCCATATCCTATTTTACAAATGAGAAGACAGACTCAGAGAGGTGATATTAACTTGTCTTACATCATTGGGTTAGAAGATAGCAGAGCAATTACTCAAAATTGGGGTTTTTTGGCTCCAAGTCTAGTGCTGCCTTTGTTGTAAAATGGGGGTGGTATTGGTGAAAGTGGCCAGTGTGTAATGGCTGGAACAGAGTATCTTTGTCTGTTTTGAAAATGGTTTGGAGCACTGAATTAGTGCAAAAATATTTAATAGTCCAATAAGACAAGAGATGCTGATTCTGGTATGTTTATCAAATTTTCCTTTGGCCTCAAGGCTTATAGTTTCACATAGTCTTTAGGTTTTGGTTTTCTGAATTCAACATATAGATTCTGTAAATAATAGTAATAATGATGATGTTGATAATAGTGATTCATATCCCAGGAACTTTGATATGTTTTTATGTTCTTTTCATGGAGTTTAATTAGTGTTTTATATATTCAATTTGGACAAAGTTTTATTTTTTATGAGGGTAAGAGATTGATACAGAAGTGAATCATGACACCGTAGCCACATTGTAATTTTTAGGTTTATCAGTGAAAGCTCTTATTGCAGAACCTCCCCCACCCCCGCAAAAAAACCAGAACAAACAAAAAAACCCCAAAAACAACAAAAAAGGAAGTGTTCTCTGTGGGCATTTGGTATACCCTGGCCCCGCTCATATATCATGAAGTCAATTTAAATAGAGAGATAGGCAAGCAATGGAGGAAACCTGGGCAATTGTCCTTCCTCTTTTAGGTGGAGAGTAACTCATATTTGCTAGAATGGGAACCACCTGTTGAGGATTACATTTCCATGACGTTTTCTGAATTTAATCCTTATGTAGGTGATGAAATTCATTCCTTTCAAAATCAAGATGAACCAGAACAGTCATTTGACCCACCTGTGCAGTTTTAAAAATATTTTGAATAATGGAGACTGAACTAAAACTCAGACATTGAACAATGATTAGTTAAATCTGTTATTTAAAAGGGTTTCTCTTTTCTCTTGAAGAGGAGGGAAAAATTCTAATAAATCCCAGAGTGTTTGCATTCTGTTCTTATTTCATTGCCATGGCTGAGCTCCTTTGGTATGTTAAAATGAAAACTGCTTTTCTTGTGACAGTCTTCATACCTTGTTTTTCTAATTTTGGATTACCAGCTCAATTTAAATTGTATGCTTTTCTGTGATGGTTGGTTTATTAACATGTAAAGCTAGTTATATTTTGGGGTATCTCCTCTGAATGGCTGTTCAGTAATGCCTTCAGCCATGTGGATAGTGATGTTATTAGGGCTTCCTAGGGTGTTGACCATCATAGCCTTGTAGTCTGTTCCTGGAGAACACTTAGGAGAGATGAAACTTTTGGAGTTGTGAACTTTGTTGTTTAATTTTGGAATCCTCCTTAAAGTAATATGACATGGGATTATATTTAAAATGGACTCAAATTAATTTTAAAGTGTATTTATCATTTTATGATTACCTAAGATAATGGAGATATCTTAAGATGGGGATTTTGTAAAATGTGTCCATTGCATAAAAATTTCCTAAGAAAAAGCAGTTTCCTGGGGACTATCCCAGACCTACTGACTTGGAATCTAGTTCTAGCAGTGTAGCTAGGGATCTGCATTTTAACAGATATTCCAAGTGATTCTAATGCTCCTTGACTTTTAAGAATCACTATCCTAAGCTGTAACATCAGTGCTAAAATTCTGTAGTTGGGGGCAAAAGTGATGATTCCACCTTTTGTCTGAATTATATATGTAAAGAGAGGGCCTTATACCATTTTTTTTTGTTTAAAAGTGGAAATATCTTTTCAAATACTTTTATTTTTTTATTTAGGACAAAGTAGATGCTGGCTTGCCTACAGCAATTGTAAGTATACTTTAAATAATCTTTTAAAGGTAAGCTTTCTATTACCAGGTTTTCTTAGATTTATTCTTCTGATACTCAGTTATTACATACATGTTATGAGAATAAATTCATATGTCATTTACTGCCAGTAATCATTTAAAATTTATTTGCGTTGAATATTCTTTCTTTCTAGTGTATTGTTACTCTTCAGTTTTGTTTTTTGAGATGCATATAATGGAATACTGATTAGCCCATTTCCAGATTTATTTTATGTGGTTCTATCCTACCCAAGTACGTTTGCTCCTTCTGTGACTTGACCTCCTTTTGGTTATAGGGAGTGGAAACAGTGTTCAGTAAAATCACTTTGTGGTAAATAGTACATTTAACAGCTCTGAACTCCATTGCCAAGCTTGCCAAATAGTAAATCTGTGGGGGTGATTATAGAGAACTTGGGGATATTGAAAGCACACTAGTGCCCTCTTTTCTATTTTCAACTATTTCCAGCTGCCTCCTCTAGCTCTCTCATTAGTCAGTCAGTTGGTGAGGGAAGTGGGCTGAGTTTTGAGTATTTCTGGCGCCTTTTGGCTCTTGTGAATGAGCTGGGGAAGGTCTTTCCTGTCCTTTTCCCACACCTCATAGGAGGCTCTTGGTTGGGTAGCATAAGTGCCTTTACTTTGTCTGGACCCTTGAACTTTTTTATTTTAAATTGCCTTAGAGGAAGTTAAGTGGCATGTTTTTGCCTATAATGTTGAACATATGATATTTTAGTATTGTTACCCTTAGAGTAAATTTAGAGGGATGCCAGGAAATAAGATGTTCTGAGTTTTATCTTGTATTTTGCCTCCTAGATGATATTTTCTTTATTTATAGTAGTTGGTATGTTATCTGGTGTCTAGAGGAAAGAAGACCAACAAATTTAATTCTGATTATTTCAAGATCCTTGATGTAATGTTTTAGAATATAATCTTCTCTTTTGTTTTCAGGCAGTATCAAGTTTGATAGCAGTGGGTACATCTCATGGATTGGCCTTAATATTTGGTAAATTTTCTAGCCGCTTATTTTAAATATTAAGTATTTGAGTTTTTTAAAAGATAATGTCTCTTAATCACAGTTTTTATAGTAAACTTTATGAAAAATGCCAGAAAAACTTGAAGGATAGCAGTCAGCATTTTTATAGTTAAAAATTGCTTGACTCAGCTTCATTTTGTTGCTCATTGCAAGTTTTATTTTCTTCTTTATGAATGTATAAGCTATCATATCATATCATACACCATTTGACTCTCTGCAGACCTAGACAAAAAGAACGTAAAGTTGAGAGTGACAAGGTTTGTCATTTTGTCTGCCTCTGGTTTGTGGTAATGGTAATTTTTTTATTCTAAATCATATCTGAGTATTAAGTATTTGAAAAGATCTTCAGGGAAAGATTTCCAGGCTTTCTCAGTAATTTTCAGTAACTCTTAACTGACAGTAAGGTTTTTTCATTTACATTGTAAATCCCTCTAAACTGAAAGTTTTTTAGCCCATAATCACTTTATTTTTTGGGTTGAGACGAGAACTTTGTTAGTTTTATTTTTATAGTACGTGATAATCCTAAGTATTTTCATTTTTTTTCCCTCCGTGAGACTAAATAACCCTGATTTTCATCTTTCTTTGCTTTTGCCCTCAATACTATGAGTGAAACATTTTGTTATGTTTAAATACTACTAGAAAATGTTTTCTTGTCATTTTTAGCGTCCTCACGGATTTTAAAGCTTTTGAAACTCTCTCAAATGGAATTCCTGCTGACACTGTATTTTAGTAAGGATGCTACAGAATATTGTTTATGGAATACCTGGGAACACTTTAATAGCAGAACCATAATTTGATCTTTGTGGGCCTTGCATCTTTATCCTGAGTGAATAACTAGTCATTTTCCCTTGTTTTTGAATAATTTGACTTCCAAGTTTTCTATTATATCAGAAGCCTATTCATCATGTGATTTTAACACCTAGTCTTTTCAAAGGTGATGGATATGAATTATTGTCTAGGGATGAGAAGAATGGAAACAAAAAATACAATTCTCTAGAGAGAACTTTAGAATTGATTCTTTAATAATTTCTCTTATTCCATAATATGTGTTCATAATAAATTTAGATGAGCAAAAGATTGAAGATACACCAAAATCTACCATCCAGAAATAATTCCTAAAATTTTATATGACCTTGTAATCTTTTTTCCTGTACATATTTATACATATGTGCACCCCCCAAATTGGATCATGTTAATTTGTAACCTGCTTTTTCATTATAATGAACTTTTTTCTGTGTAATTATTAAAATCATCTGTAATATCTTTTTTCCTGTGTTATTAGCTTTTTTGTTTTAAATTTAAGTATGGTTGATTTACAGTGTTGGGTTAGTTTCTGGTGTACATCAATGTGATAACAGTTCATGTGTGTGTGTATATACACACACCCACCCACATACACACACATATATATTCTTTCTCATATTCTTTTCCTTTGTGGTTAATTACAGGATACTGAATATAGTTCCCTGTGATATACAGGATTGTGTTGTTTATCTCTTTTATGTATAGTAGTTTGTATCTATTAATTTATCCCTCTCCTTTAGTGACCATAAGTTTGTTTTCTGTGTGAGTCTATTTCTGTGTAACATCATTTTTCATGGCTACATGTATCCTGTTAAATGGATTCACCATTTAATCAATCATTTTCCACTATAACACATTTAGGTTTTTTCTAAACAAAAAAATAGTGATGACCATGTTTGTAACTGTAATTTTTTGTGCGCATGATTACTTCTTTCAGACAAATTCCTAAAAGTATGCTTATGCCAGGGCATGAACATTTTAAATGCTTCTGATGTATATTGCCTAACTGCCTCCTAGAAAGTTTTACCAACTTGCTCTCCTGTCAGGTATAAGAATGCTTGTTCTCCTATGAGGGCAGGGTTGGTATTCGATTGATAGAATTTGGGGAAAGAATATTGAAAGGACTTTTAGTTAGTCACCTTACTTACATATGAGGTGTTTGAGAACTGGAGAGGTTAAGTGACATGTACAGAGCCAAATTCAGAATCAAAGTATACTGAATCCTAAGATCAGTACATTTCCACCCCTCCAAGTTGTTCACCTGTTCTGAGAGAAATGGAGGCAAATTCCAAGATACAAAAAGGAAAGAATGCAAGAACTAAGATGAACGAAGATAGAATATAATGCATATGTTTATCTAACAGCAGAACATGTTTATTTTTGTTCCCACTTACCAGTACTCTCTCTCAACTCTATCTGCTTTAATATCTCTTCCTTACCCCCCAAGGTTCTAAGAATATGTGCCTGCTTATAATCAAACCCATGTAGAATTCACTGCAACAAATTAAAATGAAGTCTTTTAAAATAAAAAGCTAACAGGGGAGAAGAAGAGTACATTGTCTTTCATTGCTGTCTCCTTAATTTCCTTGGGTTTGCTTTCTACTTTTTATAGACCCGAGCAACTTTCTTGTGGATTTGATGAAACAGTAATCTTTCATTAAAGTCTCATGAAAAAGAAAGTATGCCATAATGAGCATTTTGAGAAAGAATCATAACATTCTAGTTATGGTTTGGATTTTTAATCGTTCAGTTAATAATTTTTGCTCAATATTTTTGTAGGAATCAGATATCTGGACAATGAGTTTTAACAAATGGATTAAAATTTGCTTGAAAGTCAGGAACAAATGGCAGAGTAATAATGCTAAGAAGTGTCTAGATTTGAGATCTGGGTTGAATCTGATCTTGTAAACATCTTTGTTGATCATAGGAAAAAGTGCAGCAGGAAGAACTTGTTTCAGTACCATTATATTCTCTTTGGAATGAAGGCCTGGGTCATTTAGAATAGTAATCATTATAAGCTTCTTAAGCATGATGTAAAATTCCTATTCTTACGGAAGTAAAGGTATGTGGTATTTGTTATATATCTTGGTTCTTACCTAATTATACAGAGAAGGCAATGTCAACTCACTTCAGTACTCTTGCCTGGAAAAAATCCCATAGGCAGAGGAGCCTGTGGGCTGCAGCAGTCCATGGGGTCGCGAAGAGTCGGACATGACTGAACGACTTCACTTTCACTTTTCACTTTCATGCATTGGAGAAGGAAATGGCAGCCCACTCCAGTGTTTTCGCCTGGAGAATCCCAGGGACAGGGGAGCCTGGTGGGCTGCCGTCTATGGGGTCGCACAGAGTTGGACACGACTGAAGCGACTCAGCAGCAGTAGGAGCAGAAATCTATCCCTATCCTAAGGCCCTTTAGTTTTTCATTTTTTGAGTTGTTAGTGTACCTTAGTGGATTATCTTTTTGAAATTGTTTTTATCAAATTTAATGGACTTGGATTTACTATGCTAAAATTTGGATATTATGAATTTTTTCTATTTCCATGACCAATAGCTAAATATAAATGCTAGACATATCGTTTAGTCAACATTTAGTATCATTCTCACAGATAACTAAAGTTTACCACTTATACTCTTGAAATTTTACCTGTCTTTTCTCTGAACTTTTGAACTGATTTCTCGCTTTTCTCTTTCTTTTGATCTTTTCTCCATGGATTCAAAGGAAAAGGTATAGTAATTTTGATTTGCATGAATGACTCTTTTTCTTTTGACCTTTTTATTGTTGAAAGAGAATGTTATCAATTACAGTTGATACCCTCTTATGAAATGCTTATTGAAAAGAACCAGCTAATTGAAATTGGTTAGAGAATTGTGAAAAATTACAAATATATGCATACCTTCAATATTTTATTTTAAATGAAAATAAATATTCATTTCTCCTCTAATCTTTTGATACAGTCCAAAACTGTTTGAGTTTTTTTCTACCAGTTGGCGGTCTGCAGCATCCTTTTCTGGCACAAGCTGCATCAATGATAGGTCATGCAAAATTTGTACTTTTAATTAAAGAAAAGAGGTAAAAGCTTAGGTACCTGTGAATCACTCGAGGTGTGCAAATTTTAGATTTTTATAGAACTTTTCAGTTTTCTGCAGTTATCTTGTCCATACCTTACTTACTTCATGACAGTTATTTAGAGCAGCTCATCTTTACCAGGTTCTAAAACCGGTCATAGAAACAGCAGCTTGCTCTTTTCCACTTATTTCATCAGTTGACATACTGTTTAATTAACATTTTTTAAGTGCAGTGGTATTTATAATGGCATGAACAGATTTGGGAATGAACACAGTTGACTCTTCCTAAGCATCTGCATTCTAGAAAATAGCCAGTTATCTGTGGGGAGTCAGTGTATCCTGGGCTTTAGTCAGTAAGATTAAAGAGGGAATGGAGAGCTTTAATTCTGTGTGTGTTAGATGGTGGTCAAATGCAGTGCTTCTGCTGTTTTATGAACATTGATGAAAAATGTTTCCTAATCTCTTTTCTTCTTCTTCTTTGGTCTTAGAGAATATTTTTATGTGCACAAAGGAGTAGTATTGAAGAATGGTGAATACTGGCGATAAAAGTAGAGCTGAATGCATATAATTTGATTTTGATTCTTTCTAGGATTTAGGTATTTCCTTCTTTGATGGTCTTTAGGGTGTAGTTAAATTAGGGGTGAAGAAATAGAGCATTAGGTTAATTTTGGTATGTGGAAAGAGCAGAAATTCTTGAAGTATGTTCAAATTTAGATTTTATGGCTATTGTAGACTTTGTATGTTATTTATGGCTTTTCTTTGTTACTTAGTCCATTACTCTTAAGCCTGGAATATGCTGAGGTCAACCCTAAGTAAAGTGTATTTTGAAAGGTATACTAATAAAGAAATAGATGTAATTCATTGCACTGTCAATTTAGATTTGCTTTTTGTGGTATCTGGGCTTCGAGTTCTCTTAATTGATAAGCTGCTTATTATCATTAAAATAATTCTTTGCATGTGTATCATTGGATAGTTTTCATATTTTTCATAGGCATTTACAAAATTTAAGCTCTGTACCAACTCTGTGAAGGTTACAGGAAAAACAACAGTCTCATTGGATTTTTTTTCCCCCAAGAGCCCCATTGGAGGAGTAGAACATGGAAAGCTCTGATTTTCACCTTTCTTATTTCTGTTCAGGCCTTTTTGTTCCTTCTGTGTAACTTTAGATATTGTTTGAAAGAGGTTTTATGTTTGTCTTCACCAGGTACCTTTCCCCAGAATAGTCTAGAAAAATCTGGACTACAGCATGTTCTAGTAGAAGAAACCTCTTCAATAAGACCCTGCTTTCTTCTTTCCACAGAGATTCTATCTTTTCTGATTTTAGTTTAAATTTCATAGGTTTGTTAATATGGCACCATAAATACAGAATGTATAATGACACCAATAAGAATTGATAAGTATCTTTGTGGAGTTAAACTGTATTACATTTTATGCACTGTCCATTACCTCACAGCCATGCTACCTTATAAAGAGACATTGTAAAGATAATGAATATATTGTAAAAGTCAAGGGGAAAAAATTGACAGTCTTCATTAGCAGACTCCTATGGGATATAATTTTAGTACATATTTTAGGAGTGAACACTGTTGATAATTTGGTCCCTGTCTTAGCTAGTTTTTAGTACACAGTCAGAAAAAGAATCATTTCTGCATTTCTAATGTAGAGGTTAGTTGTGCCTTTTTCCTTCCCTCTTTACTTCTTTTTATTAATGGTACCATTATTCTCTTATTTTGTCATACTCCTTAAATTCGCTTATGCTTACTTTCCCTGAGTTACCAGCTCAGTTCAGTCGCTCAGTTGTGTCTGACTCTTTGCGACCCCATGGACTGCAGCACGCCGGGCCTCCCTGTCCATCACCAGCTCCCGGAGTTTACTCAAACTCATGTCCATTGAATTGGTGATCCCTGAGTTATAAGAGTACTTAAATAGTCAAATTGAAAGTAAGAACTTTGTTAAAGCAATAGTTAGTGTCTTTAAGAACTGGTCGATCAGAACTATGTAGTTTGGATATCAAAGCAGGGACTACAAAGATCTTAGCAAGATGCTATTCTGACACTACTCTTGCCTATAGGGCAGACAACCAGGCTAAATGGACTTTTTGAGGCTGGTGCAGAATTTCTGTCTCTGTCCTCTTACTTTTTCAGTCCATTCGTTGGACTGCTCACATGACACACAGTGGTAGTATGTATACAACACTGTTGCCCAACCAGTGAATCTTGACAATTTGCAGAACAGGGTGTAAGGATCATCTGCTAACTGTATAAAGTAGCCCTGACAAAGTAAGGATCATTGAAAACACTATTAGGCATGCAGTTCAGTAGAGCGAAGTAAAATGTGATGTCATATTTAGAGTCAGGAAAAAGGCAATTTTAATAGCTTGGATTAAACTGGAAAAGGGAGGAAAATGTATGTAAGGATGGAAGGAAATAAGGAAAAAATCTGTTCTTGTGATAATTTTAGATGTGAATAAACATAGGACTTTACATCAGACCTTGTATATTATGAATTTTATTCCTTTTCAAATGTTCATCTTGGAAGGCTAAGATCTAAAGTGACATCATAAAACATCAAATATTTTCTGTGTGCTGGATACAGCCACTAATTGTGTCAGAACTGAGACAATTAATTGTGACATTAATTGTGTCAGAACTCCTGGGGAGAGTGGGGATTGCTATTTGAGCCTGCTTGTGAACACAGAAAAATACTCTTACAGTATTCACTTTGGATGGGCAAAAGGGTTTACCTAGTATTATTCCCTGCATTTGGGAATGAATGTCTTTAGGCTCTGTCTGATGATAACTGGGTTTACCTTTATGGGAGGAAGATTTGTAATATGACAACTATTAAGATGATTGTCAGATGCCTTCTGTGTGCAAGGCACTGCCCTAGGCATTCTGGGGATGTTAATTCTCTCATGATCTCAGCCCTTAGGTCATAGTCTAGGAGTGGAAGTAAGATGTATTTACCTCCAAAAAGTAGCACATACATAGTGAAGGGGAGCACACACAATTGCTGGGGGAATTAAGAGAACTGATTGTGCAAGTATGGTGTCCCCCTCCCCACCCCCCCCAAAAAAGCAATTAAAGTTTGTAGACATGCTTTATGTTTAAAATTTTTATTTCATTGTTTTCAAGTGGGTGCAATAATGAGCTCTATATAATGTAAAATAAGCACTGCCTAGGAGCAGCCCTGGAGAAGGAGATGGCAACCCACTCCAGTGTTCTTGCCTGGAGAATCCCAGGGACGGGGGAGCCTGATTGGGCTGCCGTCTATGGGGTCTCACAGAGTTGGACACGACTGACGTGACTTAGCAGCAGCAGCAGCAGGAGAAGCCCTAGAGGAATTTCTTCTAATTATTAGATAATAAAGTTTAGTAATATCCAAATGCTTCCTAGAGAAATCAGAGGTGATTATGGCAGAATCCTTGCCCTCAAGTAACTTAATTTAGTAGAGATTTGAATTATTTGCTTTTAGCGTATCAGCTGTTGATGCTTGAATTTTCTTAAGTTGTTCAAACATACCCTATGATTTTATTTATACTGTTCATTTGCCTGGTAAATCTTTCCTTCAGGGATAATATAAATGTAAATTTTAGCCAAGCTGTAAATAAATTTTGATTTTTGAAGTTTTAAATCTACTGTAAAAGGTGGTATTTCATGTACCTTGTATTCTAAAAATAGCAAAAAATACAGTTCTAGAATGAAAGTTAGTTGGTTGTTCCAAGAGATACAGTTTTCTTAGTATTTTTTTTTTAACATTAGCAAGTTTTGTATTATGCTTCCTTGTAGTTATTGTTTTTTTCTGCATTCTTAGTGTCTAATTCAATGCCCACTGTTCAGTAGGTGCTCAATAAATACATTTTAAAATGAACATAACTTCATTTGATTCTTACTACCTCAAAGTGTTTGAAAACAGCCTATGCTATGTACATATTTAGTCAGCCCTTTATTTCTTTCACTTGACTTTATCAATTGCTTTCTTTAGATCAGAATCAAGCTTTGCGACTCTGCTTGGGTAGCACTAGTGTTGGAGGTCAGTATGGAGCTATCTCTGCCCTCAGTATCAACAATGACTGCTCAAGACTTCTCTGTGGCTTTGCTAAGGGACAGGTAAATAGGAACTTTATTTTACCTATAAGACAGTGTAAAATGAATTAAACTTGTTGTCTCTAGATCAGTATCTTGAAGACAAAAACATGTTATAAAGTGATACGTCTGTCTGTAGAGCTAACCTGAATTTGCTTGGTCTGACTTTTGTCCAAATTTTTAAATTAAGTTATTGACTGAGCCAGAGTCTATGATTTTTAATATCTCAATTCATATGTCCCTATATGTAAATAGCTTTTATAAACCAACCAGGCTGTTACACAAAATGTACTTTCTTTCTGTAGTGAGGATGATTGTTGTTGATTTTTAAGTACAGTATATTCTGCTTTGTAACTGTATCCCTGGACACAAATTGGGTATTTGTTTTTACTTCTGAAACTGGGCAGTAAGTTTTGTTTCTTCTCTTCTTCTGACTTACATGTCACTAATTGGTTTGACAATAAGCCCTTTTTATAATTTTTACCAGTGCTAAAGACATTGACTCATTAAAGAAATCTCTTTGACCTCTCAGTAAAAGAATAAGATTTAAAATCTGAAGGGAAAAGTAGACTGGGTAGGATGAGGGGAGGATGAAGATGGAATAAGGGCCCCATGCTTTAGTGGATCTGCAACCTTTAGTTGTGTTTTAACTTTATAGTTCTTTGTCTGTAATGTTTATAGACCAGGAATAGATTATTTCAGCCAAAAGCCAGGATACTTAAGTCCAAAAAAGAGCAATAAATTTGTTTTTAAAGCATTTAGTTGTCTTATAGATCACTATGTGGGATTTGGCCAGTGGAAAGCTTCTAAGATCAATAACAGATGCTCATCCTCCGGGAACAGCAATATTACATATTAAGGTACAGTTCTTATTTTCTTTTTCTAATAATCTTTATTATTATGCCCTTGTATCCATTTTAAAGTAGATTTCTTTATAAACAGAATCCTTGAAAGTGAACTGTCTTTTATGTGACTGGCCCAACAAGGTGTTTTCCCAAGTAAAATCCAGAGATAGGCTATCATGGTAACATTAAGCTATAAGTTGTATTGACGTCTAGTAGATACAGCAGGAAAGAGTAAATTGAAGTGATCCTAGACAAAAGGTTGGCAGCAAAGACAGGCAGTACCCTGCTGAAAACTCACGTGCAGACTTTAAAAGGTCTTTTTACTTTTTTGCTTAGTCCACCAGGATTTTACTGCTGAGGTGGTGTGCCCTGTCACACTTTGTTGGGAATTACTTGAAGCTCAAGGCACCGGTTGTGAAAGAACCAAGGTTTGCATTATGTTTCGAAACAAATTTCTTGGTTTATTTTCTTTCAGACCTCCAAAGGAAAAGCATAAAGGTTTGAATCTTGACTTTCTCCTTACATGCCTGAAAAAAATAAACCACCTTAGGTAACATTTACTTTATAAATACAGTGTGAACCTTGGTTTTTGTATGCTGTCAAGCCCATGTTCAGAAGTATAAAACGTACAGGATTATAACTAGGGAAGTCTAAAATCAGGTCTTCTGGATTTTAATCATGTACACATTTGGTTAGTTAGCTGTGCAGACCTCTCTTATCCATACACATGGTTTTTAAAGTCTGGGAGCATCTGGAGTTTATGTGTCTGCATCTCGGTTAGTTACAGAAAAAGTCTTTTGTGAAAGCGGCATTGAAGCATTTAGTAACACTGAAAACAACCAAGACAAGTAAAAGTAGAATTTCTCCTCTTTCTGAACATCATGGCAGTTTATCTTGACCTGTTTTCATATGGCATGCACCAACTTCTAATATGTTATTGTTTGTGTTATGTCTTATCTCCTTTAATAGATTAAGGTCTTTGAAACCAGGATCTGTTTCTCTTTTATTTTTGTGTGTTACATGCAGTAGTTGCTCAATAAATGTTTGTTTGGTGGTTTATGAAAATCCAATCCATTTGCAGAAAAAAGCAAAATCTTTGGGAGAAACAATACGAAACGGAAGAGGTAAAGACAGAAAAAGGCAGAAGAAATGAAAGCAGAAGAGTGTAGCTGACATTGAAAGCACACTTGTGTTGCTTGGGAATGCCACAAGTATAGACACTTCTTAGTAATTCTGAGGCCTGCTATCGACAAAGGCTGCTTAAGCTGTCAACCTCTTACTCATTTCAAACTTAACCCTACACATCTCATCAATAATAATTTGGGCTTTAATTCATACACACACACACACACACACATATGTCTCTCTGTGTGTGTATATATATATATAAAATATATATTTAGAATTAAATGTACTACCATACTAAATTGAAGTATATCATAAAACACATACACAGGAAGTAGAAAATAAATAAAAATTATGAATGCCATTATTTTTTCTACACTCCACTTTTGCAGCTGCTCAGCTAGGCCTTTGAGAACCATGGTGTAGGACTTCTTTACTTTGCCTATGTGTGGTTGAGGAAGATGCATTTCATAGTAGCCTCCTATACCTCAGCCATTCCAGAAGAGTCCAAAAGTATGCCAGTTAGGATGGTTTTACAACCTTTGGGGTTAGGGAGACTAGGCACTGGAAGTGACATAAATTAAGTTATTCAATTTGGTGTCTATTGGCATGCACATATACCAGGCCACATCAGCCCTTGGGACAGTCTCTCATTGTGGACATTGTTTATTGAGTTTTCCAGGGTAGATAATAGTAACTAAAGTATACTTTATTGAAGACTGAAGGGGCAGAACATTTTAGGAAGAGTTGCATAAAAAGTTAAACTCTTTTTAGATATAGTAGATTAACTCTTCAGTTATTCAGAAAACATATTCTAACAAGCTTATTTCCCAAAGACATCAAATATCTTTTACTGTGTGTGCCTTTATTCTTGAGAGCTAGGCCTCTGTAAGTATATCCAAAGTATCCTATTCAGCTTAATAGCAAGTTTGAAAAAATTAATATAAGAACCCAAGTAGAGAAGTTTAGGGCTTTTATGAATCATAGTTTGTATTTTTCTTTTATCCTGTTGAGAGGTGGTTTTACTTCTTTAAAGTCTCAGTTTTTAATGATATCAAACCATTTTTATTCTAAATATGGGTAAGTTTTTATGTTTAGAGTAATGAGGTCAGTCTAGGTGATTTCAAATGCTATTAAATGTGTTTGTCTTGTGTTTTTAAAATTTTATAATTTTTCCCCTTTTTAACATTTGACTGGTTGTTTAAAAATCATTAAGAAAATAAATTTCTTCTCTGTTTAGTTTACAGATGATCCAACTCTTGCAATTTGCAACGACAGCGGAGGCTCTGTTTTTGAATTGACATTTAAGTAAGAGACTATTGGATGTTTGTAGACAAATGAAAAGATTAGCTCCAATTTAATGACTTGAAGTTGAATATGAAGAGGTCTGGAAAACCCATGTGATTGTAAATAGGTTGTGGCTGTGTATTACACTTATCTGGGGAGGCTTATAGAACATATGGAGCACCACTCCTGGTCCCCCAAAATTCTGTCTCAGTACATCTGAGTTGGGATTCTAGACTCCTTCTCCCCAAAGTGTTCCTAAACTCTGTCAATCTTAGGAACTATTATCCTGGAGTATATCAGTAATTTCAGTTTAGACCCCAGGCCCAGTTGGTTATAACCATAATGACCAGGTGTACAAGGTTCCTTTTGCCTTGGAATTGCCCTGTTTACTCTTTAAATAAAGGGAAAGACTGTTTAGATTTGTGTAAGAACATTTATAAATCTGAGTTTAAAAAGACAAAAAAAATTCAATGTGTATTTTGTTTCCAAAGTTCTTCAAAGTAAGGACTCTGTTTCTTACATTTCACATGCCTCCTGACAATATTGAGTCCAAAGTAATTGTTTGAAAAATACCAGTTCAGTTCAGTTGCTCAGTCGTGTCCGACTCTTTGCGACCCCATGGCCCGCAGCATGCCAGGCCTCTCTGTCCATGTCCGTTGAATTGGTGATGCCATCCAACCATCTCATCCTCTGTTGTCTCCTTATCCTGCCACCTTCAATCTTTCCCAGCATCAGGGTCTTTTCAAATGAGTCAGTTCTTCGCATCAGGTGGCCAAAGTATTGGAGTTTCAGCTTCAACATCAGTCCTTCCAATGAACACCCAGGACTGATCTCCTGTAGGATGGACTGGTTGGATTTCCTTGCAGCCCAAGGGACTTTTGAAAGTCTTCTCCAACACCACAGTTCAAAAGTATCAATTCCTTGGTGCTCAGCTTTCTTTATAGTCCAACTCTCACATCCATACATGACTACTGGAAAAACCATAGCCTTGATTAGATGGACCTTTGTTGGCAAAGTAATGTCTCTGCTTTTTAATATGCTGTCTATCTAGGTTGGTCATAACTTTCCTTCCAAAGAGTAAGCATCTTTTAATTTCATGTCTGCAGTCACCATCTGCAGTGATTTTGGAGCCCCCCAAAATAAAGTCAGCCACTGTTTCCACTCTTTCCCCATCTATTTGCCATGAAGTGATGGGACTGGACACCATGATCTTAGTTTTCTGAATGTTGAGCTTTAAGCCAAGTTTTTCACTCTCCTCTCTCACTTTCATCAAGAGGCTCTTTAGTTCTTCTTCACTTTCTGCCATAAGGGTGGTGTCACCTGCATATCTGAGGTTATTGATGTTTCTCCCAGCAGTCTTGATCCCAGCTTGTGCTTCATCCAGCCCGGCATTACTCATGATGTACTCTGCATATAAGTTAAAGAAGTTGGGTGACAATATACAGCCTTAACGTTCTCCTTTTCCTATTTGGAACCAGTCTGTTGTTCCATGTCTGGTTCTAACTGTTGCTTCCTGACCCGCATACATGTTTCTCAAGAGGCAGGTCAGGTGGTTTGGTATTCCCATCTCTTGAAGAATTTTCCACGGTTTGTTGTGATCCACACAATCAAAAGCTTTGGCATAGTCAGTAAGGCAGAAATAGACGTGTTTCTGAAAGTCTCTGGCTTTTTCAGTGATCTAGCGATGTTGGCAATTTGATCTCTAGTTCCTCTGCCTTTTCTAAAACCAGCTTGAACATCTGGAAGTTCACGGTTCATGTATTGTTGAAGCCTGACTTGGAGAATTTTGAGCATTACTTTACTACCGTGTGAGATGATTGCAGTTGTGCGGTAGTTTGAGCATTCTTTGGCATTCCCTTTCTTAGGGATTGGAATGAAACTGACTTTTTCCAGTCCCGTGGCCACTGCTGAGTTTTCCAACTTTGCTGGCATATTGAGTGCAGCACTTTCACAGCATCATCTTTCAGGATTTGAAATAGCTCAACTGGAATTCCATCACCCCCACTAGCTTTGTTCATAGTGATGCTTCCTAAAGCCCACTTCACTTCACATTCCAGGATGTCTGACTCTAGGTGAGTGATCACACCATTGTAATCATCTAGGTCGTGAAGATATTTTTTGCACAGTTGTTTTGTGTATTCTTGCCACCTCTTAATATCTTCTGCTTCTGTTAGAAGCATACCATTTCTTTCCTTTATCGAGCCCATCTTTGCATGAAATATTCCCTTGGTATCTCTAATTTTCTTGAAGAGATCTCTAGTCTTTCCCACTCTATTGTTTTCCTCTATTTCTTTGCACTGATCACTGAGGGAGACTTTCTTATCTCTCCTTGATATTCTTTGGAACTCTGCATTCAGATGGGTGTATCTTTCCTCTTCTCCTTTGTTTTTTGCTTCTCTTCTTTTCACAGCTATTTGTAAGGCTCCTCAGAGAGCCATTTTGCTTTTTGCATTTCTTTTTCTTGGGGATGGTCTTGATCCTTGTCTCATGTACAGTGTCACAAATCTCTATCCATAGTTCATCAGACACTCTATCAGATCTAGTCCCTGAAATCTATTTCTTACTTCCACTGTGCAATCATAAGGGATCTGATTTAGGTCATACCTGAATGGTCTAGTGTTTTTCCTTACCTTCAATTTAAATCTGAATTTGGCAGTAAGAAGTTCATGATCTGAGCCACAGTCAGCTCCCGGTCTTGTTTTTGCTGACTGTATAGAGCTTCTCCATCTTTGGCTGTAAAGAATATAATCAATCTGATTTCGGGGTTGACCTCTGGTGATGTCCATGTGTAGAGTCTTCTCTTGTGTTGTTGGAAGAGGGTGTTTGCTATGATCAGTGCATTCTTTTGGCAAAGCTCTATGAGCCTTTGCCCTGCTTCATTCCATACTCCAAGGCCAAATTTGCCTGTTACTCCAGGTGTTTCTTGACTTCCTACTTCTGCATTCCAGTCCCCTATAATGAAAAGGCTATCTTTTTGGGGTGTTAGTTCTAAAAGGCCTTTGTAGGTCTTCACAGCACCATTCAACTTCAGCTGCCTCAGCGTTACTGATCGAGGCATAGACTTGGATTACCGTGATATTGAATGGTTTGCCTTGAAAGTGAACAGAGATCATTCTATTGTTTTTGAGATTGCATCCAAGTACTGCATTTTGGACTCTCTTGTTGACTATGATGGCTACTACCATTTCTTCTAAGGGATTCTTGCCCACAGTAGTAATGATGGTCATCTGAGTTATATTCACCCATTCCAGTTCATTTTAGTTCTCTGATTCCTATAATGTCGACATTCACTCTTGCCATCTCCTCTTTGACCACTTCCAATTTGCCTTGATTCATGGACCTAACATTCCAGGTTCCTGTGCAATATTCTTTACGGCATTGTTTCCATCACCAGTCACATCCACAACTGGGTGGTATTTTTGCTTTGGCTCTATCTCTTCACTCTTTCTAGAGTTATTTCTCCACTCATCTCCAGTAGCATGTTGGGCACCTACTGACCTGGGGAGTTCATCTTTCAGTGGCCTCTCTTTTTGCCTTTTCACACTGTTCATGGGGTTCTCACGGCAAGAATACTGAAGTGGTTTGCCATTCCCTTCTCCAGTGGACCACATTTTGTTAGAACTGTCCACCATGACCCGTCTGTCTTGGGTGGGTTGCCCTACACGGCATGCCTCAATTTCATTGAGTTTGACAAGACTGTGGTCCTTGTCATTAGATTGGTTAGTTTTCTGTGATTGTGATTTCTGTCTGTCTGGCCTCTGATACCCTCTCTCAGCGCCTACCGCAGTACTGTTGATTTTTTCAGCTGATGTTTATTGGCTATCCCCTATGTGTAGGCATTGTTTTAGATACCAGAGTTATGGCTGTGAACCGGTCAAGGTTGCTACTCTTGTAGAACTTACATTCTAGTTGGGGTGGGGGTAGGGAGACAGACAATAAACCAACATATAAACAACTTTAGGTATGAGTGCTGTGAAGAAAATAAGACAGGTCAGTGTGCTGGAGTGCATTTGAGAATAATTCAGGAAGGCTTTTCTCTGAAGGTGACATTTAAACAAAAAACGATAATCTGGTCAACAAATGGAAAGACCTAGAAGAAGTGTTCCAGGCAGAGGGATGTTCAAGCACAAAAACTTTGAGGTGGGCACACCGTGACCTGCTGGAGCGGTGGACAGAAGGCCAGTGTGGCTGTAGCATGTGTTTATCAGGAGCAGTAGCAGTGGGAGAGGAGTGAAGGCAGGAGAGAGATCATATAAAATCATATAGGACCTTTTAAACCTGGTAAGAGTCGATTTTATTTTGTCTTCCGTGGTAAGCCATTGGAGAGGGAGAAGCCATAGGAGAAGGTGGTAAATCTGACCCTATGTTGAAAAGGACGTGCTGATGTCATATGGAGTTTGGATTGTTGGGGGCAGGAGTAGGGGTCAGGAGGCTTTTGTAGTCATCTCTTACAGAGATGTAGTGCCTTGGATCATTGCTAAGTTGATTCTGCATTTTTGGGTTACCTTTTCAGGAGAGTGATGGGAGTGAGAACTTGTGAATCTCGATGCCTGTTCAGCGGTTCCAAGGGTGAAGTTTGTTGTATTGAACCTCTCCACTCTAAGCCTGAGTTGAAAGATCATCCCATCACACAGTTTTCCTTATTGGCTATGGCATCCTTAACAAAGGTATTTAGAAGACGAAGCTCATAACTTAAGACACTTTGAATACCAAAAATCTGAAAATTGCAGGGTAAATAGTAAAAATATATTTTTTCCCCCTAAAGATACTGGTCATTGGATTGAAGCCATCCTTGAAAGTGTGGATGACTTTTCCTTATGGACGGGTGAGTAAGCCTTTACATCTTATGGGCAAAAAGACCATGTTGGGAGGTTGGGGAAGATGACTCACGAGTGGCGAATTCTTTGAGGTTGTCAGAAAGCTAGGTAGAATGGAAATCAGCTCTCTGTCTGCTTACCTTGATGTGACCAAAACAGTGTCAGCTGGTAACCAGAGCAGTGTCCTGGGGATCACAAGATCTATACTTCCCTACCTTTATTCTGTTAAGTTTTCTCCCATGAACAGCTGCTGCTTTGATATTGAACTACTGATACAGAGCACCCCACCGTAACATAGTGTGAATTGTTCTGACGTATTCTTTCCTGGGTTTCTTCTGCCTGTGATATTTCATTTTGGGGGATGCTTCTCACATTGTATTATGCACACCTCGGTATCTCTTTTCCTTCCTGCTTGGATGCTTTCAAAGTGATGTTTTCTTCCAGGAATATATAAGGAGAGGCATGGATGGGATGTGATGGAGAATGACAGTATAGAACCAAGACTAGTTCAGAAAGTAGGCCCTGTAATGAGGGAGCTCACTCTTCAGTTTTCTTGTTGGTACTCTATCTCTGGGCCTGAGGCCTGCCCTTTCAGATGGTAGAGCCTGCTCAGATCACCATTAACTGTTCTTAGGTGACCTTCATTGGCTAATTGAGATTTATCATGGTATGTGTTTGCATCTTTGTTTTTGTTGATTTTTTCCCCCAATATTTTATTATGAACATTTTCAAATAAATAGAGAAGCTGATAGGATTTTACATTAAACATCTATATACCTATCATTGTAAAACTCTGGCCGTTAGTAGTGTATACTTCATTATATACCTGTTTATTGTCATTCACTCATCAAATTATTTTTTTAAAATGTGCTTCCAAGTAAATTGCAGAAATTAGTACTCTTCCCCCCCCCGCCCCCCACAAATATTCAACATGCATATGATTAAGTACAGTTCAGTATTCAAAGTTTTTTCTTTGGTAGAAAAATTTACATACAACAAAACACACAGAGCTTGAGTGTACACTTGCCAAACTTTGCCAAATATAGATACTTATAACCCAAACTTCTGTCAAGATGTGGAACATTATTGTCCACAAAGAAGGTTCCCTCTTGACGCTTCCCAATCAATCCGTACTCCACTGGAATTTTAATGAGAAATTAGGAGAAGTTTTTATCAAGGAACACCAGTCCATTGCTGTTTTAAACCAGAGTTTTCATTCTTCTTGTGTTAACAATAATTTTTTGTTTTTTTTTTTCCTTCTTACCCAGATGGATCCTTCCAGTGTTCCATTGCTGGCCTGGCACTTCGTGGCAGTGCATAATTATGTGAATCCCATGCTTGCCTTCTGCAGAGGAGATGTTGTTCATTTTCTCCTGGTAAGTCCTAATATGATGCTACATCTGTGCTGAAGTCCTTTGTCATAGGTTATCATTCTGATTCACCAGTAATTTAATATTGTGTCAAAGAAATATACTATCATAATTCTTTGGAGAGAGAGTGACCTGTTTAATTTTCGAGGCTTTAGTGGTTAACATGGAAAACCCTCAGCTCCATGCCTCCTCATGGTGTATTTCTTATTTCCATCTCCTTTGACTAACAAATAATTAATAGTTTATGTGTATGTGTAAATATTTGAATGTACATAGGTCTGTATTAATGGCTTACCTACCTACATGTAGTATGTTTAATAAAGCAAGTATCATTGAGCACCTATTATGTCCTTTACATTGTAGTGGACACAAGGCAGTTGGAGGACGTATAAAACTTAATTTCTTCTTCAAAATAGGATAAAATATGGTTTGAAAGGCAAAACCAGTATGTTCATTGCTACTAGTGAGGACAGTTTAAGGACTCTACTATGTGATGAGAATTTAAAACTTGATGTAAGTTCAGAGCATGAAGAGATTTGTGTGGATTACAGAGGCTGTGGAAGACTTTATGAAGGGCACAGGGCAAATACTCCAGGAGGGCTGGATGTACATGTTGGGGGAAATAAGATGAACTGAAATACGGAGATGAGAACGTGCCTGTGGAATCCCTTCCTGACTTTCCCAGCTCAGTGAAGCAAATGCCTCGCTGTCCACCTCGTTTCTGCAGCTTGAGACCCGGGAGTTGCCTTTCAGTTGCATTTTTCTCTCTATTCCTGCTCCATCGCACATCCTGCTGACTCTAATTTACTTCCTTTTTTTGTCTCCCCTATTGCTGCTTCCCTAGCCTAAATCACAGGCATTTCTAACCCAGGCTCTGAAGTAGCTTCCTAACTAGTCTTTTGCCTCAGTGTCTTTTTACTTCTTTTTTTAATTGACATATAGTTGATTGACAGTATTGAGTTAGTTTCTGGTGTACAGCAAAGTGATTCAGTTTACATATATATATATATATTTATATATATATTCTTTTCCAGCTTTTCCATTGTAGATATTATGAGATATTGAATATAATTTCCTGTGCTTTACAGTAGGACCTTGCTGTTTATCTTTTATCTATAATAGTATGTATCTGCTTATCCCAAACTCCTAATTTATCCCACTCCCTCTTTCCCCGTGGTAACCATGTTTGTTTTCTATGTCTGTGAGCCTGTTTCTGTTTTGTAAATAAGTTCATTCGTGTCATCTTTTTAGATTCCACATATCAGCGATATCATGTATTTGTCTTTCTCTGTCTGATTTACTTAGTATGACATTCTCTAGGCCCATCCATGGTGCTGCAAAAGCATTGTTTCATTCTTTCTTGTGGCTGAGTAAATGTACCACATCTTCTTTATCCATTCATCATCAATGGACATTTAGGATGCTTCCATGTCTTTGGCTTTGGTGTCTTTACATAGGCCAACATCTCTGCCAGGAAAGCTCTGTGCTCTCTTCTGCATTATCCTAGCTCATGATTAGCATGGCCTTCCCTGACCTACTGACCTCAGTTAGCATTTCCCACTACAAACATCCATAATACCTTCTTTTATAACATTCAGCACTTCTAAAATTCTTTATTTAATATTTTTCTTCTTTACTAGACTGAAAGCTCCATAAGTCTAAAACCAACCCTACTGCTGTATTCCAACTACTTGGACAGTACTTAAATATGTAGAAGGTCAGTAATAAATGTTAGTAGAATTAATAACAGGGAGAAACTTATTGTTGAAAATAAAGTTAAATATATGGCATGGATCTAGATTAGAGGTTGGCAGACTATGGCCTGTGGACCTGGCTGGCTACTTGATTTTGTGAAGTTTTATTTCATACCCATTTGGTTATGTCTTATTTATGGCTGCTTTTGCACAACAGTGGCAGAATTGAGTAGTTATGACAGAGATTGTATGCTCTGCAGATCCAAAAATATTTACTGTATGGCCTTTTACAGAAAAAGTTTGCTAACCTCTGATCTAGATTCTATAATAATCGCCCTAGATTGGTAAGGGGGAACCATCACAGGTTTTTAGGTAATTAAAGTGTTATGATCAAAGTGACATTTTAGGAATAGCACTGTAGAAATAGAAAAAAGAACCGATTATAGGAGGTTGGAGGGAAATAAAGGGTTTTGCTCTTTTAATAAAGCAAGTGAGGTCTTTAGACAAGGATTGTTGCAGTGAGAGTTAGGGATGGCATTTTGAAGGAAAGACAAGGCTTTTCATGGGGACTGAAAGACATAAAACATTGCATTTCTGGCTTTGTATTTTAGAAGCATGACACATTCAAAGAGTAGAGTTAGGGAAGGATAGTGTTGGGTTGGAAGTGAAGGTGAGACTTGAGTAATGTTCTCTGGGCTGATTGGCAATCCAGGTCTGGGGTGCAAATGCAAATTCCAGGATTGAGAAGGTAGTTGAAGCTCTGTAAATCAAAAGCGAGAGCATCCATAACGTTGGTGGACACTCGTATAAGGAAAAGGAAAACAAAGGCAATAGAAAGGCGGATCCTATAAAGGCATGTGGAGGTAGGTGGGGAAATAGAACAGTTATAGCATCATACAAAAGACGGACGAGGAGAGGCTTCAGGACATTATCAATTCCAGTGTAATACCAATACCAAAGAGAGATCAAGGAAGAAGACTGAAGGCAAGGCCACCAGATATGTAAGAAGTAGCTTTTAGAAACGTTTCAGAGGACTAATCATCAGCGGAATTGAAGTGGAAGATGAATTATAGAGCGTTGTTAAAGGAATGGGTTTCTAGAAGAACAGACTCACACTACTGAGTACAGTGTTTGGTTGCAAGAGGAGAAAAGTTCTTAATTTTCTGTAAGAAGTAAATCAGGGGAAAATTTTTGTTTTTTGAAGGTGGGTAAGTCAGAAACCTGTCTGATAGCAAGAGGATAAAGGACCTTTCAAAGAAGTGATTAAATATATTAGCAGAGGAGGGGTAATATTAAGCAGTGAAGGAGGGAGTAGGATTCAGAGTTTATACAGGTGAAGTGATTTTCTTTAGTAAGGACTTCAGCCAGTCTTAAAATAGTTAATGTTGGCCTTGATATTCTTGTTTATGAAACACTTTCAACATATGCAAGATACAGAACAATTTGGTGCTTTCTTATTTTCATTTTACAAATGAAACTGGAAGAATAAATGATTTACCTTTGGTGACTCAGCTGTAATAGTGGAACTTGCTCTTAAACACGTGGTTGTAGATCTAGTTCCTTTTACCAGAGCCGCCTTTCTTACTAGGGAAGTGACTTAGGAAGTAAAGATGGGAGGACATGAAGGGCTCACATTAAATGGTCTCCGTTGTTTGTTATCTGGTGAGGTCAACATGACAAGTGATGGGACTTGAAGGCAAAGAGGAACTGGGACGTAAAGGGAAAGAAGGACCTCTAGGTCACTGCTATGGGAAGTATGCAAGAAAACCCAAGTTGAATTGAATGTCATGCGTTTCAGGCAGGTCACTGTATTGTGTCCGTCGTCTTCAGTGCTCTGTTGTCTTGGAGCAGAAATAGAACAAATGAGGAGGACAGCTGAAGATTATAGAGTGTATACATATGCACATATAAGTACAATATTAACACTTGAAGTTCTGGGAAATTTCGGGCTGTTTGAGCTATACTAGTATCATATTTCAGAAAAGCCTAGTTTTGGTCACTTCAGCACCTTTTTTTCCTTTTAATGTACTTTTGTTTTACATTTTTTACACCATGCGACTAATCCTATTTTATGCTTTAACTCTGGCTAAATACAGTTATTGATGTGATGAAGTTAGTTTGTTCTGAGTATGACAGAGTGAATGTTAAATTTGCCAGTACAGGCATACCCTGGGGATATTGTTGGTTCCGTTTCAGACCACTGCAATAAAGCAAATACTGCAATGCAGTGAGTCACGTAAGTTGATTGGTTTCCCAGGGCATAGATAGAAAAGTTATGTTTGCACTACACTGTAGTCTAGTCTTTTAAGTGTGTAATAACATTATCTCTAAAGAAAAGCAGTGTACATACCTTAATTTAAAAATACTTTATTGCTTAAAAAAAGCCAAAACAATTACAATAGTAACATCAAAGGTCACTAATCACAGATTACTATAACAAATAATACTGAAAAAGTTTGAACTACTGAAAAAATTACCAAAATGTGACACAGAGACAGGAAGCAAGCAAGCAAATGTTGTTGGAAAAGTGGCGCCAATAGATGGACGCAAGGTTGCCACAGATCTTCAGTTTGTAACACACGCAGTATCTGGAAGCACAATAAAGTGAAGTGCATTTCAAACATGGTATGCCTAAACTGACAGCTTGACCACTGACCAGTATACTACGTACACTTGTGAGTGATGTTTTTCATTTGTTTAATAGTTTCTTTAGTTATCAGTATTTGTTTTACCCATATTCTGAATGGAAATCATGTTCTAGGTGGATTGACTAGGTGAGAAACTTTTTAAAGTCTCTCAAACAGTAGCTGATATTCAGGTTTTTTTTTTTTTAAATTGTGTTTTTTTTTTTCATTTATTTTTATTAGTTGGAGGCTAATTACTTTACAATATTGTAGTGGGTTTTGTCATACATTGACCTGAATCAGCCATGGATTTACATGTATTCCCCATCCCGATCCCCCCTCCCACCTCCCTCTCTACCCGATCCCTCTGGGTCTTCCCAGTGCACCAGGCCCGAGCACTTGTCTCATGCATCCAGCCTGGGCTGGTGATCTGTTTCACCATAGATAATATACATGTTGCAGTGCTGATCTCTTGAAACATCCCACCCTCGCCTTCTCCCACAGAGTCCAAAATTCTGTCTGTACATCTGTGTCTCTTTTTCTGTTTTGCATATAGGGTTATCATTACCGTCTTTCTAAATTCCTTATATATGTGTTAGTATACTGTAATGGTCTTTATCTTTCTGGCTTACTTCACTCTGTATAATGGGCTCCAGTTTCATCCATCTCATTAGAACTGATTCAAATGAATTCTTTTTAACGGCTGAGTAATATTCCATGGTGTATATGTACCACAGCTTCCTTATCCATTTGTCTGCTGATGGGCATCTAGGTTGCTTCCATGTCCTGGCTATTATAAACAGTGCTGCAATGAACATTGGGGTGCACGTGTCTCTTTCAGATCTGGTTTCCTCGGTGTGTATGCCCAGAAGTGGGATTGCTGGGTCATATGGCAGTTCTATTTCCAGTTTTTTAACAAATCTCAGGTTGTTTTTATTTCATCATCAGGTTAAGAGAGACGAATCTGGAGCGATACATGTTACTAAGCAAAAGCATCTTCACCTATACTATGACCTCATCAACTTTACTGTGAGTACTATTGAAATGAAATAGCCCCAATTACTTTATGTAGTTGTTTTGAGTCCATGTTCTGTTAAGTCTCCCAGGATTTCTGCCATAAACCATGACCTTTAGGATCATATAAAATGTGGACAGAAGTGAAGTCCTGCTTGTACTGAAAAAAATCTTTTCGATATTGGTGTGATGCTACACATTATTTTTATTGTCCTTCAGCTTGCTGAACACTGGCAAGATCACCAAAAGTTTTCTTTAAAATCTTGAATAGCTCAAAGGGTAGATCAGAATAATTTTTTCAGGGTCATTGCTGGGCTTTTTTTGTAAACACATTTTGGTACTTCTGAGTATGTCCTCATTGGTTCAGGAGATACTATTTTCTTTTCTTTTTTTTTTTTAGGAGATACTATTTTCTTGTGGCTAAAAAATTTTGCAGAGTTCTCTCTACCATGCATCTCGGTCCTGAGAAACCTTTTGGTTTTTTAAAAAAAGATTATTTCCTTTCATATCAATTTTTATAATAGATGATTTATTAAATTTATTTGCACATTGCTTTTTAAATCTCACAAACTTGATTTAGAAATAACACTTTTTTCCCATATACATTTCATGAAATAATTTTGTTCAACCTCTTCCCATGTATATTAGACATCAGTGTTTTGTCATTACCAGAATCCCTTGTGGAATTGTGTAATATATTTTTCTAGAATTCATCATTGTCACTTGCATTTAAGATGTTTGAGGTATATCTTTTTTTTTGTTTGTTTGAGGTATAACTCTGTAAACATCTGCATATGATTCTGTCCCTGGAAAAAATTTCCCAACCACAAGTAGTCATTCTAATAGTAGGACAGTGAGTGTTTTTCATTTGTCCTGTGACATATGCATGATGTGACCCCTAACTGCATTGCTTTGTAAGTTACCTTTAAAAGGATTGTTTACAATGTGTCAACACTTAAAATAGTGAGAGTCTAATCCCAAGAATAATCCCTAAACATGCTAACATTCTTGGTCATTCTTTCTGTTAACCAGGTGACTTTTGAAAGTGTGTAAAATCTAGCACTAAGTTTGTACAAGGCTGAATAATATGTCTTTTCTGAATGGTACTTTGTTTCTCAAAATAGTCAAGAGAGCACATTACAGAAGTTCTTTGTAAATGTTTTGAGTGTCAAACTCTGTTTTCTGAAAGACAATGTTTTTTTGAAAAACCAAACCCTTCCTTACAGCAGCCACTACAGTGATAAAGTATATGCACATGTAGCATAGTTAAAATAGAAAAATTGATCCATTTTCAACTTGATTGTTTTTGATTGTTATTTGATTATGCAGATAATTTCTGAGCATGGGAAGAGATCATATAAATAAACCAAAACTAGTATCAGAGAAAGTGCAGGGGAAATACTTTGTTCTGGCTAATTTAGAATTCTAATTGTGCAGATTTAAAGACTTTATTTATTTCTTGGGGAGGAATTGAGAATTTTCAAAAAATATTTTGAAAATAAATTTTATATATAACCCAAGAAATTTAATCAAAATGACATCCTTTAGTAGATTTTAGCATTATTATTACTTTTAAAATTGTAATAGTACTCATTAACAAATATTCAGACTATCTAGGGAAATAGAGCAAAGAACTCTGCCATAATTTGTAGGTATGTTTTGAAGGAAATATATATTTTTTAAATAGTTTCCATTTTAAAATATGTAATACTTAAATGCTAACAATCATTCTTTGACCAGCTAGGTTTATGAGGTTTCATTCACCATTTTGTTTGATTAATGTCAAAACACTAGAAATGCAAAGTTGGCCACTTTTAAGTTATTGTGTCAATGTAGTACCTTTAAAAAAATTTGATAAAAAACAATTTATCCCATAATATCTGTTAGGGTTCTTAGTTAGCCTTCTTTTATATTATGAATCACCTTAATACCATCAAAACTCAATACTATGCTGTGCACCTGCTGTTCTTTGGGCTGGTACTGAGTAGTTCTCCCTGTGATTGTGTTGTCATCACCTGATTGATTAAATGGTTAAGGTCCTCAGTGTCATTGAACTGAGTGGCCAAGCTTTCTTCTCGTCCTGGATGATGATGTCGGATGGGCCTCACTTTTGTGTTTCTGTGTGCTTGAATTATAGTGGATAAACTCACGCACAATTGTGCTCTTGGACAGTGTAGAGAAGTTGCATGTGATTGATCGGCAAACTCAGGAGGAACTGGAAACGGTAGAGATCTCAGAAGTTCAGTTGGTCTATAATAGCAGCCATTTCAAATCACTAGCCACTGGAGGAAATGTGAGCCAGGCGCTGGTAAGGCTGATCCATTATTTTAGTATTGTTTTGATAAACTTGATATATTGTTGTTTTATTTTAAGAATTCTGAGGGGTTATCTTTATGTCTTGATGTTTCTTTGAAAACCGCTAACTGGGTTGAAGTGGATGTGAATTTATATGTAAGTATTCAAGAATGTGAATTAAAACAATAAGTCCTGTTATCTTCTGTTCAGAAACGTGACTAATACCAAAGAATTTTAACTTTTATACTAAAAATAATGAAGTGAAATTTAAAGTTCATAAGAAAGAAATTTTAAAAGCAAGATATTTTAGAAAGTTTTATATGGTGACAACAAGCCTGATTTAAGGAATTAAAGACTAGCGAGACAGGTAGCTTGTAAGGCTTTGGAAGTATATGGATAATTGCTAAAGACTTGAACAGGTATGAACACTGCAGTCATTGAAAGGCAAAGAGAGCTTTGAGAGAAAAATTCTTTAGGAATGGGAGATAGATGAATTGTAGGAGTCTGCAGAGAAGGAAGACCTAAAAGTTATGGTTTTAGTATTAATTTTACTATATTTTAAGCAATGACAATGGCATTTAGCAATTTTTACAGGTGTGTGCGCCAAGTCTTTGCGACCCTATGGATTGTAGCCCACCAGGCTCCTCTGTCTCTGGGATTGTCCAGGCAAGAATACTGAAGTGGGTTGCCATGCCCTCCTCCAGGGGATCTTCCCAACCCACATCTCTTATGTCTCCTGCATTGGCAGGGGGGTCCAGTTCGATTCCTGGGTTGGGAAGATCCACTGGAGATGGGATAGGTAACCCACTCCAGTATTCTTGGGCTTCCCCTGTGGCTCAGCTGATAAAGAATCCACCTGCAATGCAGAAGACTTGGGCTCCATCCCTGGGTTGGGAAGATCCCCTGGAGAAGGGAAAGGCTACCCACTCCAGTATTCTGGCCTGGAGAATTCCATGGACTGTATAGTCCATGGGATCACAAAGAGTTGTACAGGACAGAGTGACTTTCACTTCACTCTTTACCACTAGTGCCACCAGGGAAGCCCATTTACATAAGTAGTTTACAATTAAATTACTTGGAATTGTGATCTCATGTTTCCTAAGTCAATAATCTTTAAGCAGGAAATTTAGACTCTTGTGGAACTTCTCTGCATAATTTCTTGGAAAAAAAAATAGTAATGAAGGTCATATTTATGAGTGTCTACAGCATAATATCTAGCCATTGCTCAAATCTCCCTGAGATATTAGAACTTCAGAGCATAAATATATGTGAAAGAGTCTTGCAGTATTTTCAGAATTTAGAAACTAGGAAAATCCAGAAGAAGAAATGGTAATTCAATAGAATCCACTAGGTTAAGAATAATTATGGTCCCACACTTAGACATTCTCTTTTGTCTGGAAGTGTAAGTGTCAATCACTTGGTCATGTCTGACTCTCTGTGACCCTATGGACTGCAGCCCTCCAGGCTCCTCTGTCTGTGGAATTTCCCAGGCAAGAATACTGGAGTGGGTAGCCATTTCCTTCTGCAGGGGATCTTCCTGACTCAGGATCAAACCTGGGTGTCCCACATTGAAAGCAGATTTTTTTTCCATCTTAGCCACCTGGGAAGCCCCCAGATCAGCTCTCCCTGTCTCTTAGCAACTGCGGCAGCGGTGGTGGTGGTGGCAGTCTGAGTGATTATTAAAAACACTGATAGACTTTGAATTTGTACTTTCAGCCATGATGGAATAGTGGGGACTGGATTTGCTCTCCTGTCTGGGAAAAAAAAATCAAGGGAAAAAACCAAAAAACAAAAACAGTAATTTTCAAGATGTTAGTGAACTTGAAAATAGAACAATAGGATCTATCCAAAATGAAACAGAAAAAAATTAAAGTGTTAGTGACTAGTGAGGTAGCGTGAAGTAGCCTAATGTGTAGTAGAAATCTCTGAAGGAGAGAGAAAAAATTAGAAGAAATAATGGTCAAAAACTTTCCAAAACAAAAAACAGAAAAGTTCAAGAAGCTCAGTGAACCCAAACACAAGTAAAATGAACAGATTGATTCAAATGAATTGGAAAGAGGAAATATTAGAGCATGCAGAGGAAAAAGACACATTAAATGCAGAGGATCAGCAATAAGTGTAAGAGCAGATTTCTCATCTGACATAATCTGCAGTAGTCTCTAGAGAAGATATACCAAATGGCCAAAAAGCAGATGACAGGATATTCAACACCATTAATCATTACGGAAATACAAATCAAAATCACAGTGAGATACCACTTCACGCCTCCCGGGATAGCTGTAATCAAAAAGAGACAATAACAACTGTTGACTACAGTGCAGAAAAGTTGGAACATTCATATTTTGCTTGTTGGACATGGTGCAGCCATTGTAGAAAACAGTTTGGAAGTTCCGCAAAGTATTGAAGATTCCATGTAGTAGAGCAGTTCTAGTCCTAGCTAGTTACTCAAGAGGAATGAAGCCATATCTCCACAAAAACACTTGTACACAGATGTTCATAGCAGTATTATTCGTAATAGCTCAAAAGTCAAAACAGTCAAAATGTCCACCAGCTGATAAATGGATAAGCAAAATGTGGCATGTCCATGTAGCAGAATGCTATTCCTCAATTTAAAAAGTGGACTATTTACACATGCTACAACATGGATGAACCTCAGAAATACTATGTTAAGTGAAAGAAGCCATATGGAAAGACCATGTAGTGTTTGATTCTATTTATATGAAATGTCCAGAAAGGGTAAATTTATAGAGACAGATGTAGATTAATAGAACTGGGACTAAGAGTAGGAATGAGAATTGACTGGAAGTGGGTAGAAGTTATCTTTGTGGAGTGATGGAAATATTCTGAAATTGGATTTTGGTGATGGTTGAACAACTGTACATTTACCATATCATATACTTAATGAGTGAATTTTTATGGTGTGTAAATTATACCTTACTATTGTCATTTAACAAAAGAAGTTGACTGTTTAAAACAAAAGTAATGATATTTTGTGGTACATACTTAATGATATGTAGAAGTAATAGGATGACAGAAATAGTACATGGCAGGGAGTAGGGAGAAGGAAATATGTTACTGTGAAGTTCTTAACATTATACATCAAATAGTATATTATGTAAATGTAGACTGAGATTAGTTAAAGCTGCATATTATAAACACTAGGGTAGTCACTGAAAAAGTATCCCTTTATAAGTCAATAGTAGCAAAAAAGTGGATGTTAAAAAATATTAAATTCAATGAAGCATAAAAGAAGAGGTAGTACAGGTGGAAAACAATAAGATAATCTAAATCCAACTATATCAATAATTTTAGGAAATGGAAGTTGTCTAAACATTTCAGTTGAAAGGCAGGGATTATCATACTGGATTTATAAAAAGCAAGAACCAACTCTATGCTGTCTCCAAAAAGCTCTCATTAAATACAGAGTCATGATAAGTTAAAAGTAAGAGGAAGGAAAAAGACATATTGTGCAAATACTAATAATTAGAATGGCTATTTTAATATCAGGTTAAGTAGATTTCTGAGCAGGGAATATTGCCAGAGATAAAGAGAAATTTCAAATTGATGAAAAGATTAATTTGTCAAGAAGACATAATAATCTTAAAGGCTTAAGCATCCAATAACAGACCTTCAAAATATATGAGACAATAACAAAGCTAAAAGGAGAAACAGACAAGTCCACAATTAGAGTTTGGAAAATTCAGAACTCCTTTATTAGTAATTAATAGAATAAGTAGACAGAAAACCATCAAGGGTATACAGAAGACTTAAAAAGAATTATTGGCCAACTTGACATAACTGATATTTATAGAGAATTCCACCCAGCAAAAGCAAATTACAAACTTTCTCAAGTGCAGATGGGGCATCCAATAAATTATATGCTAGGCCATAAAGCAAACAACAGTAAATCATTGAAAGAATCATTTGGGTAAATCTGGAGAAAACTCAAATATTTGGAAATTAAGAGCACCTTTATAAATAACCCATAAGTCAAAGAAGAAATCTCAAAGGAAGTTAGAATATATTTTGAACTAAATGAAAGTGAAAATGCAGCATATAAAAATCTGTGGTCTCAGACAGCTCATACAGCTCAGCATCTTTACACAAACAACCCAGTTAAAAAGTGGGCAGAACATCTAAAAAGACATTTTTCCAAAGAAGACATACAGATGGCTCATAGGTACATGAAAGATGATCAGCATTGCTCATGATTAGAGAAATGCAAATCGAAACAACACGAGGTATCACCTCACATCAGTCAGAATGGCTAGCATCAAAGCATCTACAAATAATCAATGCTGGAGAGAGTTAGAGAAGAAGGAACCCTCCTGCACTGTTGGTGGAAATGTACATTGGTCCAGCCACTATGGAGAACAGTATGGAGATTCCTTAAAATAGTAAAAATAGAGTTACCATATGATCCATCAATCCCACTGCTGGACATATATCCAGAAAAAACTATCATTCAAAAAGACACGTGCAGTCTAATGTTCATAGTACTATTTACAACAGCCACGACACGTTGTGTGTACATGGAAGCAACATAAATGTTCATCGATAGATGAATGGATAAAGAAGATGTGGTATATATATAAATACACACACAGACACACAGTGGAATATTACTCAGCTATAAGAATGCCAGATACAGTAATACAGATGTACCTAGAGATTATCATACTGAAGTAAACCAGAGAAAGACAAATATAAGATGTCACTCATATGTGGAATTTAAAAAAATGCAAATAAACTTATTTACAAAAACAGAAACAGGCTCATAGACATATAAAAACAAACTTACGGTTACCAAAGGGGAGAGCGGGGAGGGATAATTAGGAATTTGGGATTAATATATGCACACTACTGTATCTAAAGTAGATAACCAACAGGGGCCTACTGTATAGCACAGGGAACTATATTCAATATTTTATAATAATCTATAAGGGAAAAGAATCTGAAAAAGAATGTATATATGTAAAATAACAATCACTTTGCTATACACTTGAACTAACACATTGTAAATTAACTTCAAAAAAAATCTGGGGTCTATAAGTCAATTTGAGGGTAATTTATAGCTTTAAATGTGCTTCCTTGGTCGCTCAGCTGGTAAAGAATCCACCTGCAATGTAGGAGACCCCAGTTTGATTCCTGGGTCAGGAAGACCCCCTAGAGAAGGAATAGGCTACCTGTTCCAGTATTCTTGGCCTTCCCTGGTGGCTCAGCTGGTAAAGAATCTGCCTGCAATAGGGAGACCTGGGTTCGATCCCTGGGTTGGGAAGATCCCCTGGAGAAGGAAATAATTACCCACTCCAGTATTCTGACCTGGAGAATTCCATGGACTGTATAGTCCATGGGGTCACCAAGAGTTGGACATGACTGAGCGACTTTTGCTTTCACTATAGCTTTAAATACCTTAAAAAAAATCTCAAATTTGTAACCTAAGTTTTGATCTTAAAGAAACAGAGAAGAGCAAATAAACTTGAAGTATATTAAAGCAAGAAATAACAACAGTGAACACAAATCAGTTAAGTAGGAAATGGACAAACAGTAGAGAAATCAAAGAAAATAAAGCTTGTTTTTTAAAAGATAAATTGATAAAACAGTGAGAGTAATTCAGAAAAAAGGTGCAGTTACTAATATCAGGAATGAGAGAGATACAATCACTGTGTAGTCTGAAAATATTAAAAAGATAATATAAATACTTTATGCCTAAAATTAAACAATTTTAGGTGAAGTGCAAAAATCCTTTGAAAGATACAGATAACTAAAGCTGACCAAGAAGAAATGAAAATCTAAGGGGTTGTATGTTTGATTTCCTACAAAGAAAATCCAGGCTTAGATAGCTTCACTAGTAAAGTCTATTATAATTAAGGAAAAAATATCAATTTTACATAAAAATCTTTTTAAAAATAGAGAAAAAGGGAGCACATAAATCTTTTTATGATATCAGCTTATTTCTGATAACAAAACTGAAGACATTGCAATAAAGTATAATACAGATCAATGACTTCATGAGCATAGAAGCAAAAATCTGTAAAATAGTAGTAAATAGAAATCAGCAGTGTATGAAAAGTGGAATCATTATCAAATGGTATTTATCCAAGTCACACCCGGCTGGTTTAATATTCAAAAGTCAATGTAATTCAGTATGTTTATTGTAGAAAGGTCATATACCATCTCAAAAGACGTAGAAAAAGCATTTCACAAAATTCAGTATCTGTTTCTGATAAAATTCTTAGCAAACTAGGAATAGAAGGGAGCTTCTTCAGCTTGATCAAAAAGAACATCTACAAAAATCCTACCAGTGACATTGTACTTAAATTTAAAGTGGTACTGCCAGAAACCCAGACTGAAAAAAAAGTGCAAAACCCTGATTCTGATCTTCTAGAGGAAATATAGAAGCAGAGGAACATGTTAAAGGAGTCCACTGGGATGCCATTAGCAAAATTCAGATAGTAGGAAACTCCAATGAATAAGTGTTCCAGTGTCTTCAACAAATAAACTTCATGGAAAGTAAAGGACTGTGAGAGATAGAGGCGCACTGACTCTTAAGAGATGTATCAGCCTTCTTCAGTGTGAGGCCCTTATTTGAGTCTTGACCTAAACAAATGAAATGTAGAAACAATAAAAATCTCAGTAACGTTTGACATTTATGAGGCAATTTGAAATCCAAACACTGATCAGATATTTGATATTGAGGAATGAGTGTTGATTTTTAAAAGTCTGTCAAGGAAATTGTGTGGTTATGTTAAAAAGGATTTATTATGCATATACTGAATTTTTGCAAATGAGGTGTTCAAAATCTGAGATCCATTTCAGAGTTATTACTGTGTTATAGAAGAGTCAGTGGGAATTATAGATGAAACAAGATTGAGCTTGTAATTAATGAAGCTAGTTACTGGATACATTGGGTTCGTTGTTTTATTTCCTCTACCTCTGTATATATTTTTACAGTTTCATAATAAGAAAAATTACTAGTTATAAGTTCTTGACCACATATATTTTGGAAGATTTATAAATACTACTGTGTGTAAGCCTCTCAGAAGCTGCATGGTTTTCAAAGATGGAAAAACATAGTGTCAGAACTTTGAAACTTGTTTAAACTCTGTCACCCAGTAGGTAACAGAGCCAAAATTTGCAACCCAGATTTATCAGGCAGTAAGTCTTGTTTCTGTTTGCTGGGCTGTGCTGACTTTCATATACTGTGCTGCTTTATCTTCCTGTTTGCTTTTGTGTTTTTTGTTGATATTTATTTCGAAGAACTTGAAGGTATCATTTCAATTAGCCGTATTCTTTGCCGGAAGCAGACACTCGCTGTCATTCAGTAGTGGGCAGGTTGCAACAGTTTTTCTTCAGATTTAGAAGTTGACATGTTCCTCCCTTTTTTGCATTACTCTGAAAGATAAAAAGACCATATACAAGCAGAGAACTACTTTTTGCACTTTGTCTTTTCTGCCACCTCCACAGACAGAGTGGCACTCGCCTGACATTTTTTCCCCCACTCACTTACAGGATGAAACTATATTGTCTCTGTAATACACATTCCTGAAAATTTGAGACTTCTAATGCATGTAGTTTTTACTTTTAAATTTTTTTTTTTAGGCTTTGGTTGGAGAGAAGGCTTGCTATCAATCCATAAGTAGCTATGGTGGTCAGATCTTTTATTTGGGAACAAAAGTAAGTTCTTCCACTTTGTGACTTGGTGTTTGTTTGTTGGGGCTGAAGGAGGTTGCTGGTAAAGAGGCCAGGCAGTACATTACAAAGTGATCAATTACTGATCAGCAGTAATTGAAAACTTTGAAGGGTTAGATGATCATGATGTTTAATTAATTTTTTAAAAGATTGCCCCTTAATTTTATTATAGGTTATTAGAAGATATTGAATATAATTCTTTGTACTGTACAACTAATTAATTTCCTCTACTTTTAGACATACTATATTTTTACTTTTGTTTAGGTTCTGGTTAATAGGATGCTTATTTTGTTTATTCAGAGGTATACTTTCTCCATCTTCCTTCACATTTATGTTTTCATGACCAGGAAGATAACTTTATCATATATATTTGTCATGTAATTAAGATGTGCTTTAGCTTAGATCAGCTTGTGCTCACTAGCTTACTTGTGTCCAACTCTTGGTGACCCCATAGACTATAGCCTGCCAGGCTCCTATGTCCATGGGATTTCCCAGGCAAGAATACTGGAGTGGATTGCCATTCCCTCCTCTAGGGGATCTTCTCAACCCAGGAACTGAATCCGTGTCTCCTGCATTTGGCAGGCGGATTCTTTACCACTGTACCACCTGGGAAGCCCTAGATAGCTTAGGATATATTATTAATAAAGTGCATTGAGATATTTGACTTAGAATAGGAACTTTTTGTATATCAGTTTGTCTCCTTTTTTTTGAACTTTTTGTTTATCAATTTCTTTTTGTTTTTTAAAGCTTTTTGTGTATCACTTTGTTCCTTGTTTTTTTAAACTTAGCATGGAGAAACTTAGCAAGTTGGGAGATTGGATTTTCCTTCTTCTTTGTCCATGGAATGAACTCCTTGGACTATAGACTTACTCACTTTTAAATGTTTGATGTACTCTTTTTTTTGGTCCGTGCCACATGGCATGTAGGATCTTAGCTCCCCAGCCAGGGAGCAAACCTGACTACAGTGGAAGCATGGAGTGTTAACCACTGGACTGCCAGGGAAGGCCCTGTTTTACTCTTTAATGTGGGCACTTGAAGACCCTTTACTTTTGAGTGTAATATGAAATTTTTTTCTTAAAGAGGTGTAAAATGACATGTAGAACTAAGACAAATGTGTCTCTCAAATAAGTCTCTTGGAGATGATAAGTCTAATTTCCTTCTCATTTTCCAGTCTGTTTATGTGATGATGCTGAGGAGCTGGAGAGAGGTGAGTTCAGAGTAATCTTATATGTAAGCACTATTGAATTGAGCACATCTTAGCATTTTTTGTTTTAACTTTGCAGAAAAAGATTATTTGAATTTGTGCTTTTTAATTTCAGAAGTACATCAAAACCATGCTAACTCTCATATACTTGATTTGATAAAACTGACTAACTCACGATAAGGTTTGGCTGTGTGTATAGAAAATTCAAAATACCAGTGGTGTAAAAGATCTTTCTCTCATGTAACAGCAGTCTGGAGGTACACAGTCTGTGGCTAATATGGCAGCTCCATGGTCTTTGTCATACTACCCTATTTCGCCATTCTTGTGTATGGATTCTAGTCTCAAGCTCGTTTTATGTTCCAGTGTAACTGCTGGAGCTCCAGCTGTTAAGTCCACATTCCAGGAAGGAGGAAACAGAAAAGAAGGCTGGCCGTGACCTTTTAAGGTCACAATCCAGAAATCTCCAGATAACACTTCCTCTTATCTTTGGCCAGATGTTAGTCACATGGCCCCAAGTGGCCACAGGAGAGTCTTAGAAACATCCTTTAGCTGTCTAAAGGTTTATTTCTATCTCAAACAAACTTGGAATTTGTTATGAAGGAGGAGGGAGTGAATGGATATTGTGGCAACTGGCTCTTTCTGCTCCAGCAGCATTCTAGCTGTTTTCTCTTTTCAGGTTTAGGCTGTAGCTCCTTATACCAACTTAAACAGTCACTGTATTATCCAGTGCTTTATGAAATTGTTTTCCTTGGAAATAAGATAGTCACATGGTTATTGGAATAATCTTAGCTACTAAGCAACAACTTCTAGGAAGACACTAGGTAGAATAGGAATTTTTACTGGTAATTGGTCAGACAAAGGGGTGTGGTTTCTCTCATTTATTCATTTTAGAGAGTGGATCACCTCTTGAAACAAGACTGTCTTACAGAAGCTTTGGCTCTGGCATGGTCTTTCCACGAAGGAAAAGCAAAAGCAGTAGTAGGTAAGTCAACAGGACACTGGCGTAGTCGGTACTGCTTTTCTGGAGCAGAGAAAATGAATATTAATCATTCACAGAAAACTTTTGACTTAGTGTTCAAGTGTTTTTTAAGCAAGATGTTATCAGACCTTGCAGATTTTCAGGAAAAAAGGTTAATGACAAATACAGGATATAGAATTTTAAATGTCACTTTTAAAATTCATTTCATAAGGAGAACTTAACTGTTAGAACAAAAGGAAAGTACACTGACATGCTGTCTGGTCCAGTCGATGGGAGGTGTTCTTGTTATGGCATATTACCCAACATTTTGCTACCTAGATTTGTTATATCTATTGTTAGCATAGGTTATCAATAGAAGATCAGAGCAGTTTCACTCCTGAAGATGTGGATTAACTTTGGATTTATGCTGGGTTTTGCTTCTCTGCAGGATTATCAGGGGATGCCAATAAGCGAAAGGCTATTGTTACAGATCGGGTGAGTATTTTAATAGGGTCTTCACTGGGGTACATTTTGGGCGTGATTAGGTAAATGACTACAGTCAAGAAGAGACTGTATAAAAAAGCAAATCAGATGATAATTCCTTGGTGTTACAGTGAACGCTTTTGTAAATTCCTTCTTATCACCTTTTCTTTTTTCCCAATGCTCACTCTTTAGTGAAGATTCAGTTCAGTTCAGTTCAATCGCTCAGTCGTGTCCAACTCTTTGCGTGTCCAACTCCCAGAGTTTACCCAAACCCATGTCCACTGAGTCGCTGATGCCATCCAACCATCTCATCATCTGTCGTCTCCTTCTCCTCCTGCCCTCAATCTTTCCCAGCATCAAGGTCTTTTCAAATGAGTCAGCTCTTCTCATCAGGTGGCCAAAGTATTGGAGTTTCAGTTTCAACATCAGTCCTTCCAATGAACACCCGGGACTGATGATCTTCAGGATGGACTGGTTGGATCTCCTTGCAGTCCAAGGGACTCTCAAGAGTCTTCTCCAACACCACAGTTCAAAAGCATCAATTCTTCCGCGCTCAGCTTTCTTTATAGTCCAACTCTCACATCCATATATGACCACTGGAAAAACCACAGCCTTGACTAGACAGACCTTTGTTGGCAAAGTAATGTCTGCTTTTTAATATGCTGTCTAAGTTGATCATAAGTCTCCTTCCAAGGAGCAAGCATCTTTTAATTTCATGGATGCAGTCACCATCTGCAGTGATTTTGGAGCCCAGAAAAATAAAGTCAGCCACTGTTTCCACAGTTTCCCCATCTATTTGCCATGAAGTGATGGGGCCGGATGCCATGATCTTGGTCTTCTGAATGTTGAGCTTTAAGCCAGCTTTTTCACACTCCTCTTTCACTTTCATCAAGAGGCTCTTTAGTTCTTCTTCACTTTCTGCCATAAGGGTGGTGTCATCTGCATATCTGAGGTTATTGATATTTCTCCCGGCAATCTTGATTCCAGCTTGTGCTTCTTCCAGCCCAGCGTTTCTCATGATGTACTCTGCATATAAGTTAAATAAGCAGGGTGACAATATACAGCCTTGACGTACTCCTTTTCCTATTTGGAACCAGTCTGTTGTTCCATGTCCAGTTCTAACTGTTGCTTCCTGACCTGCATACAGGTTTCTCAAGAGGCAGGTCAGGTGGTCTGGTATTCCCATCTCTTTCAGAATTTTCCACAGTTTATTGTGATCCACACAGTCAAAGGCTTTGGCATAGTCAGTAGAGCAGAAATGTATGTTTTTCTGGAACTCTCTAGCTTTTTTGATGATCCAGCAGATGTTGGCAATTTGATCTCTGGTTCCTTTATAAACAGTGAAATAGCCAGAAGACAGCAGACAGGAGGAGGAAGAAAACCCAGGGATCTGGATTGTTTCTGAAATTAATTGTAGCCCGTAGGATGCTGACATTTGTTATAAACTGATAAGTAATTATGAGAAACACTATATGTGCAAGTGTTTGTATTGCCTGAGGTACCAAAGAGGGCTGTTTATTATTATTATTATTATTATTGTTCAGGTCAGTCGCTCAGTCGTGTCTGTCTTTTTGTGACCCCATGATCCACAGCACTCTCTGTCCATCACCAACTCCTGGAGTTTACCCAAACTCATGTCCATCGAGTCAGTGATGCCATCCAGCCATCTCATCCTCTGTCATCCCCTTCTCCTCCTGCTCTCAATCTTTTCCAGCATCAGGGTCTTTTCAAGTGAGTCAACTCTTCACATGAGGTAACCAAAGTATTGGAGTTTCAGCTTCAGCATCAGTCCTTCCAATGAACACCCAGGACTGATCTCCCTGAGGATGGACTGGTTGGATCTCCTTGCAGTCCAAGGGACTCTGAAGAGTCTACTCTAATACCACAGTTCAAAAGCATCAATTCTTCTGCACTCAGCTTTCTTTATAGTCCAACTCTCACATCCGTACATGACCACTGGAAAAACCATAGCCTTGACTAGACAGACCTTTGTTGGCAAAGCAATGTCTCTGCTTTTTAATATGCTGTCCAGGTTGGTCATAACTTTTCTTCCAAGGAGTAAATGTCTTTTAATTTCATGGCTGCAGTCACCATCTGCAGTGATTTTGGAGTGATTTGGAGAAAATGAAGTCTGCCACTGTTTCCAGTGTTTCCATGTCTATTTGCCATGAAGTGATGGGCCCGGATGCTATGATCTTTGTTTTCTGAATGTTGAACTTTAAACTGTTGATTAGCATTAACATGGCTAGTGTTAATATTTAATACTTGCTTTGTTTTCCTATCCTAGGCTTGCCTGAATTCATTTATTGTTGTCCTTCCTCCTCCTTTTTATTGTGCAAATGCATTGGTGAAAATTAGATTCCAAATTAGTATAAACATTTAGAAAACATACAGAAACTGGTCATTCCCAAGACTTGTAAATGATTCTCTTAGTCTGTGGTAGAAAGAATTGCCTGTATGTGTTCTTTAGGGAAAGATCTATGCAGAGGATAACTGAAGAGGTAATCGTCAACATTTTATTTCATTTTTATTTCACACTAATGGGATCTGGAACCTGGAGGTATTTATTAGGAAAGATTAGCAAATTGGTGCTAACCCTGAGCCTGAAAGAAATTAGGCTGGGGTTAAAAAATGGGGAAATAAGGCCACTAAAATTTTAAATTGTATTTTTTCATAAAATATCCAAGTCTGATTCTATATTATTTAAGATCATATATATTAAGATCACATATATTAAGTATTAAAAAGCTTTAAAAAAAAAAGCTTTAGAGACATATTTTAATTACTGTTTTCCTTACAGATGGTAGAAATCCTATTGCATTATGCAGACCGAGCTCTAAAAAAGTGCCCAGACCAGGGTAAAATCCAAGTGATGGAGCAACATTTTCAGGTACACATTTGCAAGTGCTTCTAATGAACATCACTATGAACAGGTCTAGTACTGGTCTTTGATATTATTTGAGAATGGAACTTTCATGTTTTGATTAAACATTTTTCAGTATTCAGAGCTATATTACAGGGTTTGTGGAACAGTCTCAGTTATTAAATTTTGAAGTAACAGGTGTACAGACACATGGAAACAGATGAGTAAAATGTTGTGGGATGTCAGTTCTTAGGTGCTTCATGGAAGGAACAGATGTGTGTATGAGGGTACATACCTGTGAACTGACACCTTAAACCTTGCTGATGACTAACACTTTTGTTGACTTGTTGGACAAGTGGACTACCAAGGTTTAAATTTAGTTCTCTTAGGAGCACCTATGATTCAAGAATAGGTAAATTGGAAAAAAAATTATGATCTCTTAAATATACTAATAAAAAAACCTTTAGTTTCTCTTGAAACTCAGTGAAAATGGAAGTCAAGGAATGATTTAAAGATCTGCACAGTGTTTATTATGAGAGTATTTACCATTTGTAATCATCTCAAAGCATATTTGTTAGGAATCTGTTTCTTCTTCTTCACTCTGAGGTCTTACTCCCCTCCCCCTGCCTCCTCCTCTTTTAACAAATATTTGAGGGTCTGGTACAGCGGTCAGCAAACATTTTCTAAAAAGGGCCAGATGGTAAAATTTAAGCTTTGTGGAGTACATATGGTCCCTGTCACAGGTTCATCCATGTGATTTTTTTTTTTTACCTGTTTTTAAATAACCCTTTAAAAATGGAAAGACCATTTGTAGCTGGGAGCCATTCAAAAACAGGCTGTGGACAGGACTTGGCCCATGGGTCAAAGTGTGCAACCGCTGGACTGATATGTTGTATTCACTGGACGATAGTATGTAAAAGATGTGTGAAGTTAATAGTCTAGTCAAAATAACTTTTCTTATGCATATTAGTGGACATATTTAGAAGAAATCTAGCGTTTTGGAGTTGGAGGAGCAGACACAGCTCATATCTTTTTATATTGCCACTTGATGCTCTTAACTTTGCAAGACAAGAGTAGATATGGCAGTAAACAGTTGGGGGGTATCAGAGCAGGATTTGTTTTCCTGAACTGTACTATTGAATGCCATAGTAGTGGGCTTCTAGCAAAGTAACATTTTTTTACCTTGTGGCTAGAAGCTCATTAAATTTGTAGTGAAGAAGAGAAAGGAGCTTATATAAGGTTATAGAAATAGATAACCTAGGAGGAAAACATATGGCAGAAAGAAAGCATTTGGGGACAGAACTATTTAGGAATAGTACCTGGTATATAAATGATTTTGTATATCACTGCAGTATACAGAGAAAAGAAAACTCAGTATTTTAACAAGAGAATGTCTGTTATCAAGAGAGAAAAGAAAACTCAGTATTTTAACAAGAGAATGTCTGTTATCAAGAAGTGATAGGATGGTACTCATGTAAGAACTCTGGTTGTTGGAAGGTGTACTTTGGTGAAAAGAAACATCCAATAGGGAATGCTTAGAGGGGTTAATGACGAGGATGTGTGTGTGTGCACACACACACATGGCATGCGTGTGAATATACACATAAGGTGGAAACTGCTTTGTTGGGGAAGAACCTGGTAGAAAGCTATAAAAGAAAAAAGGAAACAAAAGTGATATTCTGACAGAGAAATATTAAGGAATCTCAGCATGACAGGGAATGTAGATGATGGTTTCTAAAACAGATTTTAAAATTTACTGAGAAACAAATCATGGTAGTAGTGTGTTCTTTAACCATCTAGATATTTGTCAAAAGTTTAATCCTGCTAAAAGAGTATCTAATAAAATTTTGATTTATTAATCACTTAGCCTCATAGGCGGTAAAGAAAACAGTGGTGGGAACCATTATTCTGAATTTACTTTTTACCAGTGATTGGGGAAGTACAAGGGATAAACTATTGATAGAAAAATTATCTCTTTATTTTAAAGGTTATAATAGCATCTCATGATGAAAAATAACATTGTGAATCCTGTATTTTAGAAAGCAGATATTTCAGGAAAAAAAATATGGGCACAGTCTCATGGTTATAGGCCAAAATACTAACATACCCCTAAATACTAATAGATTCACAAAGAACAGGAATTTTTTTTTTAACTTTTTATGTTGTATTGGGGTATAGCCAGTTAACAATGTTGTGACAGTTTCAGGTGAATAGCAAAGGTACTCAGTCATACATATACATGTATCCATTCTCCCCCAAACTCTCCTCTCATCCAGGCTGCCAGATAACATTGAGCAGAGTTCCATGTGCTATACAACAGATGCTTGTTGGTTATTCATTTTAAATAAAGCAGTGTGTACATGCCCATCCCAACTCCCTAACTGTCCTTTCTCCCCATCCTTCCCCCCACTGGCAACCATAAGATCAAAGATCAGGAAATTCTTAAATTTTGACACATTAACCACAAACAATCCAAAGAGAAAGGAAATGGGGAAGAATGGGGAAGGGAAGGAAAGAGAGAAGTATGCCTATTAAACACAGAACATCTACCAAAGTTGGAGAGAGGTGGATAATCAAAGATATTTGTCAAAAGCATGAAGAATCTATATGACTATCAGAAAAGAGACTTGTATGGTCCAGATTGTACCTACCAAAATACTAAAGGACATGGGGGGATTTTGACAAAGATTAACCTAATATGTATATTACATGCCAAGTACTGCATGAAGGGTGTGGCATTCATTTTTGTTTAATTCCTGCAACAACCCCATGAAGTAGATCCTGTTTTTATCCTCATTTTATAGAAGAGGAAGTTTAGGCTGAGAGAGGTTAAGTGACTTCTGAAGGTAATATTGCTGATAAAGGGTGGGGTCAGAACTCCAGTTCAGGTTATTCTGACTTCAAAACCCAGCTCTTAAGTAACCATTGTACTGTATTGTTATTTTCAGAGCAAGTTCAGGGAAAGGATGGGTGAGAAGGGGTGATATTAATAGATGATCAGGAATGATAATTATAGCAAACATTTAAAGTATTCAGTGCTTACTGTGTGGCAGGCACTGTTACAAACCATTTACACATGTTAACTTATTTAATTCCTGTAACTCTATGAGGTAGGTTTTGTCATTATTCACATTTACGAATGAGATCGAGGCACAGAGAGGTTAAATCACCTGTTGCAGGTCACATAGCTAGTGAACAGTAGAGCCGGGATTAGAATCCAGTACTGGGACTTCGGAGTCCACATCTGGAATGCTATACTCTACCCTGGAGCAACACTTCTGGTTTTGCTTCCATTTTCATGAGCACAGAGAGTGGTCTTTAAAATGGATAAGTCCAGATAAATATATTAAAGAAACAGGCTGAAGCCCAGCATATGTTTCATATAGTTACATTATGATTGTTCAGATCTCAAGACCCAGTGGAATTATAACCCATGGTCCTATTTGAACAGTCAGAGCTATTGTAATAATTTGTAAGTAACTTTGGATCAGTTTTCAAATAAGGCACACTTGTTTAAGCATGGATGCCTAAGCAGAGAAGACATAGCTTATTTCACTCAGGAGGACTATTTACTTTTGAAAAAGCTGATCTTCAGCCCATTAGGATGAGTAGAAATATGCACAGATGGCCACAAATCTGCTGTTTTAAGTGTTAAATTGTAAATATTTAATCATAAAATAGTAAAATAGGTTAAGTCTTACAGTGTAATTTTGTAGAAGAAAAGTGGATGTTGGAACTATCCACTGTAACCCCACTGTGGTTTGTGAACATTTTCCATGAGTTCACTTAAGAACAACCTTGCTAAACTCGTAAAAACTGCACTTTTGAAAGGAATGTGAGGACACTACATTGATGCAATTCTTATTACATAACATCTTGATTTTGTTAAAGCATTTGCCTTAGTTTTCCATTACCCTCATTCCTGAGATGGATTAGTAAATAGTAGATTTACAGATGATGAACATCCCTACCCCAAAGAGTATTCTTGCAAGCTTAGTATTAATTACTTTCTAGGGCTCTTTCATATCCAAGTTTTTATCATTGATTTGGATGAAGATTTATTGAGCAGCTTGTCGAATTTGGATAGAACCAAGAATCAGCATCCAAAATGATCTTGACAAAGTGCAATCAAAATTGTTATGAGGTGAAATTTAGCAAGGATAGACATCAAGACTCGCACTAGATTCAAATAATTAAGTTGAATGCATCCTGGCTTGGGAAAATCTAGCTGGACAGGATTTTAGTTGACCATAAACTTAGTATGAATCAATTGTGTATTAAGACCCAGATAGAGGAAAGTGATAGTACCTCTGGGCTATGTGTTGAAAATGAAAACTCTAAATAAGATAATTTATGGACTGTTGACAGACCAACTTTTATCCAACAACTGGGCTGGTGGGAGGTTTAAAAAACAGCAGTTAAAAATACTGGAATTGTTTAATCTGGGGAGAAATTACGTGCAGACAGGGCTGCTTTCAGATGATGAAGGACTCTCATAGCGAGATTTATTGTACTGCTGCAGAGGTAAGGCTACTATGTGAAAGTGAAAGTCGTTTGGTTGTATCCGACTCTTTGCGACCCCATGGAATAGTCCATGGAATTCTCTAGGCTGGAATACTGGAGTGGGTAGTCTTTCCCTTCTCCAGGGGATCTTCCCAAACCAGGTCTCCCGCATTGCAGGTGGATTCTTTACCAACTGAGCTATCGGGGAAGCCCATAAGTGGGTAGCAATCAGGAGAAGGTCTAGTTCAGTTTTAAATGATCTAATGATTATGTAATAAGTCTTGGACTGTGTGCCTCCTACTGTCGAATGTATTGAAGTAAAGGGATGATGACCAGCTTAACTAGGAGACTTTTTTTTTGATTAATTAATTTTAATTGGAGGATTATGACAATATTGTGATGATTTTTGCCATACATCAACATGGATTGGCCACAGGGGTACATGTGTCACCCCATCCTGAACCCCTCTCCCATCTCCCTCCCCACCCCATCCCTCTGGGTTGTCCCAGAGCACCAGCTTTGGGTTTCCTGCTTCATGCATAGACCTT